CTTCTTCCACCCATCAACGGCAGAATTTCGGTTGACATTCATTTTGTGTGTGTGTGTGTGTGCAAAATTATGGGTTGGTGGGATTGTCTCTTTTGATGTCTGCAAAAGTCGATATAAGCACAGTGGAAATACAGTGTAAATATGAAAGGTAGAAATATATTCCTACACGCTTAAAATATGAATAGCCGGAATGTTCGAAGTGGAAAATATATAGTGGGAATATGTATAGTGGGAATGTTTATAGGAGGAATGTGTATAGTGGGAATATGTATAGCGGGAATGTTCACAGGGGAAACATTATAGTGGAAGTATTCACAGTGGAAATATGCATACTATAAATATTCACACTGGAAATTATGTATAGTAGGAATATTCCCAGTGGAATTATGCACAGCTGAATATGCATAATGGAAATATGCCTAGCTAAAATGTGCACAGTGGAAATGTACACTGTGGGAATATACACATTATAAATATGCACAGTAAAAATATAAACTGTTGGAAAATTCATAATGGAATTATTCACTATGAAAAAATACACAGTGAACATTGGTGAAATTATCAACACGTGCACAGCGCGAAGCACAGTTTGGCGACTTCTACTTAGCTGTAAAACTATATTCTCTACATTCGGGACATAACATCACAAAATAAAAATCTGTCAGGTTGGAGGTTGTCTTGCCACAGTTGTTACGATCAATATGAGCAACATAAAACTTGATGTAAGCTAACATTATATTAAATGACTTTTGGATATCGGTTATTTCACTGATACTAGTGCTAAATGATCTCGTTGGCGAAGTCGTCGATTCAAACGTGACAAGCTTTTTGGCGAGCTAACGGCCGCTCTGCCATACTGGATAAATCTGAGTCAGTGAATTCAATCCTCTCGGCGTTAACCGGATAATATATCTTACTGGAAAATGTCGTGACGATTGGAAAGATCAGTGGTAGAAGAAGCAGAAGCAGACCAAGAGATATGATGGTGGATGGCTAAAGACAGTGGCATGAGGAATACCATCAGTGGAATTGACCCAAAACACCAAAAGACCTCGATCTATTGAGATGCACGAACGCCTACCCCAGCTGGCAAGGCACTTGATAATGATGACGGAGAAGTACCTGGCGCTACTAAGTCTAGAAGATAGTTGCCGTTGGGCAGGCAGTGGTTAATGTACTCAAAGCGAAACAGAGGGGCTATCTCGTAATGAAGGAAAGGGAGAAAAGGATAATATGGAAATCTACTCCTTGAAATCTCCTCGACTCCGAACCTATATAAGCTCTGAACAATGTCACGTGGCGAGTGGGAGCCAACCCAACCATAAGCTGCTTCAGTAACAAGAAGAAAAAAAGAGAGAAAAAGTTCGCTTAGGCGGGGGTGAGATCAGAAAAATCTCACCCTGACAAGAAATTTTCTGTGTAAAGTCTAGATACTAGATCAGCCAAGCAACAAGTAAACTAAACTAGGCACACTAACCACAAGTCTTAAGCTGAACGGAAAACTACTGTAACTATGACTACTTAATTGAACACCTGTTAATTTTTCTCAACATAACATCAGCGTGGTCCACAAATAACGACATTAACAAGAATCAACCAACGTGCTCGACCAGAGTCTAAAACATAAATCATCTCCAACTAAAAAGGAAATACGATAATGACACCATATGCTCAGCTAGATTATCTCAACCATTGGCAAAAACCGAAACATATTTAACATGTGTGTTAAGCTTCAATATGCTAACAAACCACTTATAGCGACCTACCATCAAACTATCTCCTAGCAAAGATGCACAATGGAAATCAAATCTAACATTACCTAACCAATTGAACCTACCACCATCTGCGAAATCAGTCTGACCACGGCCTTCCACTGTGGTCGCCATACCACGCTGGCGAGCCTCAGTGCAGAGCTACAGCAGCTGGTTAGGTCCCCACAGGTTCGGTCCGGAAGTCAAATAGAATGAGGGCGATAATCCGTAAGTTGGCCTTTTAAATACCCTGTGGCCAGACTTTTCCAGATTTTACTTTCTAAACCTAATAGCTGTCTTGGTCATTTATAAATCAGACCAAATCGAGATCTTCAAGCTGCTGAACTGTAGTCTTTTCCAGCCTGTTACATGTCAGCTTATTATTTTTCTTGACGTCCAGGCAACTATACAATAGATAACATCAATTGTCTACAAATACTCCTCCAACTCCTGTTCTACATCCCACAGAGTTACTGGCCATAACCACCTGGAATATAATCATCCTTCCAACATCATGCAATCACTAGTTACTTGCAGTATCATTCATTAACATTCACCCAAAAAAAAATAACTGTCATTGACATGTGATCAAAACATAACTCATCCCTAGGAAACTGGATAAGGAACGCATAAATCCCCCCCCCCCCCCCCCCCCCCCCCCCCCCCCAAAAAAAAAAGAAATTACATCAAAGATGGCAGTAGTCATGCAACATCCAGAGAACATTTGCGTTCGATTTTCAGCTACCATCTTTAAAATCACTACACCCCCCCCCCCCAATCTACATAAATGATGGCGATATCATCGGAGCACGTTAGCATGAGCCCTGGTGTCAGAGACACCATCAGAGTAGAACAAACCCCCATATAATCCGCTCCTTCATAGAAAAATGCATTTATATATTTATGGGCATGGACATGAGATGTATCAGTGCTGCACATGGCACTGGTAACGTCGCTTCTGTCCAGTACAGGACTAGCCGTAGCAACCATAGTATCTGCAAGATACTCTGCATGCTCGTTGCCTAGAACACTCGCTTCATCCGACACAAAGATGAAGGTTAGGACAGCTTTTCTCGTAGTGTTTAGTGACTGATGAATCCTTCCTGAATTTCCTTATTGAGCAATTAAGTCTGTATGCGTGAGTGATAAAAGCACTGACAGATTTGGTCAGTATAATTGATCCGGAAAACCAAGAACGGCGATGTGTGAAGAAAAACACGCACACGTTTAAACACAATCTGGCTATTCACTCAGACTCTTAAACACCATCTGGCTATACAGAGACACGCTTAAACACCATCTGGCTATACAGAGACACGCTTAAACACCATCTGGCTATACACGCTTAAAACACCATCTAGCTATACACAGGTTCGTTGCGTATCCTTTACAGGACGTTGCAGAACCAACCCCAAAAGCCCCTGGCTGCTGTGTGGTTTTTCTAGGCAAATTTACGTCCAGTAGCTGTCGGCTCTGTGGCTAAGTCCATGCGAACACTTTGCTTCGTAATGCCGGGTTCGATCTCAGCTGCGGGCAATGCGCCTTGCGTTGGTTTCGACAGAAGTATTAAGAAAGCCGACCGTCCAGCAGGCAATGGCAAACTACTGGACGCAAATTTGCCTAGAAAAACCACACAACAGCCAGGGGCTGCTGTGGTTGGTTCTGCAACGTCCTGTAAGGATACGCAACAACCTTAGTTTGCCATTGTTTTCTGGACGGTCGGCTTCTTTGATACCACTGTCAAAACCAACGCATGGCCCGCCGTTGGGATCGAACCCGACATCCCGGCTTTACGAAGCGTTCGCATCGACTTAGCCACAGAGCCGACTGGCTATACACGCACACACTTAAACACCATCTGGCTATACACGCTTAAACACCATCTAAGTATACAGGCACACGCTTGAACATCTGGCAAGACACATGATGAAGATGATGATCACGTGACTCGGGTTGTCTGATCATGTGACAGAGTTGAGTGGACGAGAAACTAGCAGCCGGAAAAATAGAATTGCAGAAAAACAAACCGGTTCGACAAATTTATGTTCCTTATTTTATGTTTGTACTAGCTTCCTTTATTGTATTGTAGTTTCACCTAATGCAGATACAGATTGTAGTGCCTATATTGTTCTTATTTGATTTGCAACACAGACATCATCATCATCCGATAGATTTGAGTGCCCAAAGACCGATGTTACAAGTCTGAAACATTCTGATTCTCAAACTATAAATTTAAATTAAGCTTGCTAGACTTGTAGAGGGCTTAATTTAAAATCTTAAAACACTGTATTTAAGAATTATTGACTACACAGTAGTCAAGTAGACTCTTTTATATCGTTAACAACGTTTATTTATTAACTTAGTACAGTATAGTATAGTATAAATATACCATAACGCAGCAAACAACTTAATCGGGTTCTTCTTATTCTTCTTCTTATAGCAGTTATTATAGTAATAAGTATTAGACGCCTGCAAATCATACTTAGCATTAGGTTTCAAGACTAAGTAATAAATACTAAGGTATTAGAAAGAATAGTTGTTTAACATTTTTCTAAATCCAAGGTCCTCTAAGGAATATTTAGATAGGGCATATTAAAAGAACTGCATATAGTAGTTCCCAATTTCAGTAATGAATTACAGATGGGTATAAGATCTCACGGTTGGCTTCTCCTAGAGTGTTAAGATGTGTACAAACAGATCATGATTGCTACAGGTTTAGATGGATTCATGGGAATAATATTCAATTAATCATGCTGCTTGAAGTGGAGTGAGGAAAAAGGAGAAATATATACAACAAACAATTAAATAATATTGATTGGCATTTAAAGAAAGAAGTAGAAAGATAGAAGGACACACATAAACAGTATGAAAATTGAAAGCCATAGTGTCCATGGTGGGAATCGAACCTGTGATGATAGAGCCTCACTTCATGTCCTAAGATGTATGACCACCTAGGCATCCCCAGAAAAGGAGTCTTTGTTAGCCATGTCTGTCATACAGTTCGAATCCACAACTATGGAATATAGACAGATGTAGTCTACAACCATTAAAATGGCACAGAAATGTATCATTACCAAGCATATGGTCACCAAACATAACAATTATAAACTCATCAAACTGTAATGCTGTGTCTAGGTTTTTTTGTTTTTAAACGTTGATGAACATTAAATGGAGAGATAGAATCTAATAAACATACTTCCAGTTACACAAACACAATATTTTCTCAGACTTTTTAATTTTGTTCTTCAGATGGGCATTCTTCAAATGTGGATGTTTCTGCTGGTGGCATGTCTGCCTCTGGTTGCAGCAGACATGGGTGAGCTTTGTTGAATCTCATTGGTTTTATATTAATTAACATGAAAAGTTGGTCTGGAGGGTGGGGGAGGAGAGTGGTGGGGAAGCTTTGAGCCTGAGGGTTTAGGGCTGCATGACTAATGCTGTCACCACGACCTGTTCAGGTTAGGATGTTTATTTTTGCCCCTTACAGAAAGAACTTCCATCACGTTACCGAGGATTAAAACCCAGATCTCCTGCAGGATAGCCTAGCATTCTAGCCACTCACCCAGCCAGTTTTTCCATGAACTGACTTTATTTGCCACTCATAACATTCTTGGTGTGTTACAGTGGTACTGTTTTTTGCTTCCATTATGGGCCCTGGTAAAACATGAACCCAGTAGCGACCTAAGTCAGGTCAGTCCGCAACATTCACCCTTGTTCCTGCCATTAAAAAACACCAGATGTTCACCTGCCAGCCCAAAGGAGACCTTGTATTATTGTTGTTTAAAAGCTTGTATTGTTGTATAAAGGCTTGTATTATTGTTGTATAAAACCTTGTATTATTGTTGTATAAGACCTTGTATTATTGTTGTAAAAGACCTTGTATTATTGTTGTATAAGACCTTGTATTATTGTTGTATAAGACCTTGTATTATTGTTGTATAAGACCTTGTATTATTGTTGTATAAGACCTTGTATTATTGTTGTATAAAACCTTGTATTATTGTTGTATAAGAGCTTGTATTATTGTTGTATCCTGGTGAAATACAGTAGTATTTCAATCCTAATTGAGGCAGATTTTGTTAACTTTAAAAACTGACCTGGGCTCCCAGGTCAGCCTAGCCTAAAATGAGTCTTAAAAAGTAAAGTTGGTTAGTGTGTTGACCACATCACACACCAAATACCAACTGGTCTGTTCACATTTAAGTTTAGCATCACATACCTGAAATCCACTGGTGTGATCAGGGTCCTTACCTTACTTTATAAAACAACCAATCTTTTCTTCTGCTGCTTTGTACTTTCTAACAATGGAAGAGGTTACTGCAGCTACTTATTAATTCTTCAGGTCCTTGGAATAATTGTGGAGGAATTTTACTTTTGTGGGAATGGTTACACTTACCACCATGTTTTTTAAAATTATATTACAGATTTTGTTGTTTTGTTGTTATTGATGTTGACACTTTTTTCACTCTTACCTGATAATAGTGTTCCTTTATGCTTCAAGCCTTTTGCTCTGTAAGAATCTTAAAAAAAAAAAAAAAAAATCAAACATTGTTTCGAATTTTGATCTAAAAAAATTCATCCTTATACTTCTGGAAAACTCCACCCTAAGAAACTAAAACAAGAGAAGGATTAATAGAAGAAATTTTGAATTCTAGGCATTTTTTTTAAATATGCAGGGAATCGAACTACAAGGCCCTCAAGCAGACGACAGGCAGGCATGAAGTGGTCTGTTGTCTGTTTTTTTGATAACATCACATCACTAAAATAAATTTCAAAAATGTTTCCAGTCACTAAATCTCTAAATCAGGAACATATTTATTTCTATGTTAAGGGAAGTAATCACTGAATATAAACTGTGCAAAGAATCAACTGATTTCTTCTTTTAAGCATCTAAAAGTGGATTTGTTCACTTTATCTATCACCATTACAAATGGCCAATAAATGTTGATGTTTTACCCTAATGCAGTTTCGTTTTTTTAGGATGAAATTTTTTGTTTTTTGAAGCCCTACCCTGGCTTTTGCCGGGACCCCTAAATATAACTGGGCCTTGAATATGGCCTAAAGGCTGAACGGGGTTTCCACAAACTTTTTGCGGGTGATCCACATCCGCTTGTGTGATGTCTTGGTGGGGTACAACTTATATACATACATACATACAATGTTGTTCTTATCATAATCCCCGCCCCAAAGTGGAACACAATATTGTGTTATTTTAAAGCCCGAGCCCAGCTGTCATCAGGGGCCGTAAATATAACCTACAGGTTGAACTTTAGCTTAGGGGTTATGAACACGATTCATTACTCCAAAATACCTGGTTTGATATATAGGAGGATGTATGCATGTCTTCCTTATTGTAACAATTGTTATGTAGTGCAGTTCTCTACTTCTGTTCTGAGACTTGCACCCAGGTGATTCTCATCCGAAAGGTGACACTTTGTGTCACTGAGTGTTTATCGCGGGGTCCTGGTGGAGTTGAATGTCAGTCAGTCAATGTTGTCGCTAGATTGCCTCTATCGCCTTATGACACAAATGAACAATCTTACAATTACAAACCAGTATACGCAAAATTCATTTGTCTGTATGTAAGTTGAGGTCTCTGACAAAAATATCCATAATACATCTTCTGTACAGTAGAAATTCTAAGTCATGTAAATAAGCATTACATAAAGTATTCTAATGCAAATGAAAATTTTTTTCTGCTTGGGGGCAGCTTTTGCAAATTTGTAGAATTTACAGATTAAGATCTCACCAGTAGTTTCAGAATGGCAGCAACATTTCACCCATTTTAAAAAATTTCTGGGACACCATTTTACCGGTAAAAGAATAGACCCACTGCCTACTTAACAGGCATGTTATACAAGTCAACTAATTAGACATTTTCCCTCTGAAGTCAAAGTAAATTTGCCTAAGCGGTGAGGAACTAACAATCTGCGCACAGGTAAGCCAGATCTGTAAAATGAATGTGCACACAAAATTCAAGTTATAGAACAAGGCTGAAGTTGAGAAGTTGAATAACAACTAGAACTTTCGTCTTGAGCTTACAGCCGATGAGCTGTAAGAAGAAAGAAAAAGAACAATTAATTATATTACAGCTTGCTTCACATAAAGCAGGGCTATTCAACAGCTAGCCATGTTTGGCCCACGATGCATAACAAGTAGCCAACGGATCATTGCCAGTTGTACTATCAACAATGTTTCTCTGCTGGGGCTCATGCCTCTGGCCTGTGACAGTCCCAATTTTCAAAAGTTTGGTCCCTGAGAAAATTTAGTTGAGTGACCCTGAGATAAAGAAATACAGTATAGATGTAATGTTTATCTAATGCAGTATAGATGTAATGTTTATCTAATGCAGTATAGATGTAATGTTTATCTAATGCAGTATAGATGTAATGTTTATCTAATGCAGTATAGATGTAATGTTTATCTAATGCAGTATAGATGTAATGTTTATCTAATGCAGTATAGATGTAATGTTTATCTAATGCAGTATAGATGAAATGTTTATCTAATGCAGTATAGATGTAATGTTTATCTAATGCAGTATAGGTGTAATGTTTATCTAATGCAGTATAAATGTAATGTTTATCTAATGCAGTATAGATGTAATGTTTATCTAATGCAGTATAAATGTAATGTTTATCTAATGCAGTATAGATGAAATGTTTATCTAATGCAGTATAGATGTAATGTTTATCTAATGCAGTATAGGTGTAATGTTTATCTAATGCAGTATAGATGTAATGTTTATCTAATGCAGTATAGATGTAATTTTTATCTAATGCAGTATAGATGTAATGTTTATCTAATATAGTATAGATGTAATGTTTCTCTAAAATTGTATAGATGTAAAGTTTATCTAATGCTGTATAGATGTAATGTTTATCTAATGCAGTATAGATGTAATTTTTATCTAATGCAGTATATATGTAATGTTTATCTAATGCAGTATAGATGTAATGTTTATCTAATATAGTATAGATTGTAAAGTTTATCTAATGCAGTATAGATGTAAAGTTTATCTAATGCTGTATAGATGTAATGTTTATCTATTGCAGTATAAATGTAATGTTTATCTAATATAGTATAGATGTAGAGTTTATCTAATGCAGTATAGATGTAAAGTTTATCTAATATAGTATAGATGTAAAGTTTATCTAATGCAGTATAGATGTAAAGTTTATCTAATGCAGTATAGATGTAATGTTTATCTAATGCAGTATAGATGTAAAGTTTATCCACTGCAGTATAGATGTAATGTTTATCTAATGCAGTATAGATGTAATGTTTATCTAATGCAGTATAGATGTAATGTTTATCTAATGCAGTATAGATGTAAAGTTTATCTAATGCAGTATAGATGTAAAGTTTATCTAATGCAGTATAGATGTAAAGTTTATCTAATGCAGTATAGGTGTAATGTTTATCTAATGCAGTATAGATGTAATGTTTATCTAATGCAGTATAGATGTAAAGTTTATCTAATGCAGTATAGATGTAATGTTTATCTAATGCAGTATGGATGTAATGTTTATCTAATGCAGTATAGATGTAAAGTTTATCTAATGCAGTATAGATGTAATGTTTATCTAATGCAGTATAGATGTAAAGTTTATCTAATGCAGTATAGATGTAATGTTTATCTAATGCAGTATAGATGTAAAGTTTATCTAATGCAGTATAGATGTAATGTTTATCTAATACAGTATAGATGTAAAGTTTATCTAATGCAGTATAGATGTAAAGTTTATCTAATGCAGTATAGATGTAAATTTTATCTAATACAGTATAGATGTAATGTTTATCTAATGCAGTATGGATGTAATGTTTATCTAATGCAGTATAGATGTAAAGTTTATCTAATGCAGTATAGATGTAATGTTTATCCACTGCAGTATAGATGTAATGTTTATCTAATGCAGTATAGATGTAATTTTTATCTAATGCAGTATAGATGTAATGTTTATCTAATACAGTATAGATGTAAAGTTTATCTAATGCAGTATAAATGTAATGTTTATCTAATGCAGTATAGATGTAAAGTTTATCAAACGCAGTATAGATGTAATGTTTATCTAATGCAGTATAGATGTTAAGTTTATCTAATGCAGTATAGATGTAATGTTTATCTAATGCAGTATAGATGTAATGTTTATCTAATGCAGTATAGATGTAAAGTTTATCTAATGCAGTATAGATTTAATGTTTATCTAATGCAGTATAAATGTAATGTTTATCCACTGCAGTATAAATGTAATGTTTATCCACAGCAATATAGATGTAATGTTTATCTAATGCAGTATAGATGAAATGTTTATCTAATGCAATATAGATGTAATGTTTATCTAATGCAGTACATATGTAATTTTTATCTAATGCAGTATAGATGTAATGTTTATCTAATGCAGTATAGATGTAATGTTTATCTAATACAGTATAGATGTAAAGTTTATCTAATGCAGTATAGATGTAATGTTTATCTAATGCAGTATAGATGTAAAGTTTATCTAATGCAATATAGATGTAATGTTTATCTAATGCAGTACATATGTAATTTTTATCTAATGCAGTATAGATGTAATGTTTATCAAATGCAGGATAGATGTAATGTTTATCTAATATAGTATAGATGTAATGTTTATCCACAGCAATATAGATGTAATGTTTAACCACAGCAATATAGATGTAATGTTTATCCACAGCAATATAGATGTAATGTTTATCTAATGCAGTACATATGCAATTTTTATCTAATGCAGTATAGATGTAATGTTTATCTAATGCAGTATAGATGTAATGTTTATCTCCAGCTTTTGCTCACCTGAAGAATTTAAAGGCAAAAACCTCACCTGCAGTGCAAGAACAGGCAAGCAGGGATTTGATTGCTCGACTCATCAAAGAAAGAGCATCTGATTTTGATGTTCATGTGAATGAGTCTGTTGGACCAGCAGATCGAGATACTTTCCAGGTTTGACAGTTTTGTACTTGAGCATTTGTGAGGTGCAACTGTCATATATAGGTATTGATTTGGGACTGAGCCTTGAGAGGCAGGGAGTAAGAAGTGTTGGTGTTGTGAGTAGTGGTCCCCTCCAACCCCCCTCAAACCCGCCTCCAACTTCACCCTAGGTCTAGTGAATATCTGTTCACGAAAGGAGCTTCCATTATGGTGTCAGCCTCTTGACCTAGCATAACCTCTCTTACCCCAAGACCATTGTGCGTGGCAGAGAGCCACACCCTCCCTGAGGTAGTCCTGGTAACTGGGGATGCAAATTCCCAGGCAAAACAAAATGGATCTAGAGGGGCAAACCTCGATAAAAAATCCGGTGCACCACACCGTACTGCCCCCTGTGGGAGGTAAGGAGCCGGAGGGGTGCTGAACAGTCTTAGGAGTGGAAACAATTATGCTAACACCCCTGAATACTGGAGACGATCGTGAAGGCACAGGGACTCAGGACGTGACGATCCAGTTGCCCCAACTACTCATGCTTAGGCTATGCTTAGAGCCAAGAAGAGCTCAGCGAAATCTGCAGGCAATCTGGTGGCGAGGAATGAGCACACTGTGAGCCCCACCTTAGCTATGTGTCAAAGGGGAAGGCAGAAACACAATCCATATTTCCCTAAGAACTGACACAGCGCACTTTTGGCTGCTGTCCGCTAACAAATGCTGAATTTGGTTTGCCATGTCCTGTTAAGGATATGCAGCTAACTAACAGTTGATTGTCTTGAATGTAAAATTAAGAAAAAAAAAAAAAAAAGGTAATGATGGTGTACATGTGCACGCACACACTGACACACACACCACAACACAGCCACCCAGACAGTCACAGATGCACGCATCCACATATATACATGTATGCACACTTTGAAACAAAAGGTTGGAGAGAAAGGAAGCTACATAAATTGATGGATGGATGATTGTAGGGTAAGTGGGTGGATTGATCTTTGGATGGATGGATGGATCAACAATGGATGAATAGATAAAGAAAGAGAGAGAGAAAAAGAGTTCAAAGCAAAATTCAGAGAATACAGTAGTAGGAGAGAAAAACAAACAAGTCCGTCATTCAAGAAACAGATGTTAAATATAAACTGATTAGAGATATTTAATGTTGACAATCAAGATCCTTTGGATTTAAAATGATAGAGTTTTGTCAGTTCAGTAACCACTGGCAAACAGAGTAGAAAAATAATAAGTGGAAATAATAAGATTACGATGTCTTTGCCAAATGACAAAATCAAGAGAAAAAAGCCTGATTTTTTTCAACCATGGAATTGTGTGAAATGGTAAATCAAAATTGCATTTGACCTCAACGTGTAAATTTTGAGGTCCTATTTTGGGGAAGAAAAAAGAATATACCCAGTGCGTCCTTAGAAAGCTTGTCATAAGAATAATAAGTGAAGATAAAGATTACAATAGCTTTGCCAAACGGCTAAATCAAGAGAAAGAAAGCATGGCTTATTGAGCCAGGGAATTGTGTGAGATGGCAAACGAAGATTGCACTTTACCTCCACTTGTGAATTCTGGGGTTCCATTTTAGGGAGCGAAAAATAAATAAACCCACCACCCCTTTAAAAAGCATGTCATAAAAGTATACTAATTAGGGGTGTTTCCTTTGAAGTCAGAGTGAATCTGCCTGAGAGGTGAGGAACCAACAATCCGCATACAAATGCCAGATCTGTAAAATGGATGTGCACTCAAAGCTCAAGTTTTGGAACAAGACCAAAATCCAGGAGTGGATGGACAACCAGATTTTTTCCCCAGAATTAACAACTGGTGAACGTGAAGAGAAAGAAGAAAGAAGAAGTAGAAGAAGTAGAAGAAGACAACACTTACCCATGGAGTTAAATTGTTTGCTCACGAAGTAAACAAAGGTAAAACTTGACCTCTGGTATGCTTTCTTAGTTGAGCTCTACAGCAGATGAGAAAATCAGGATTGTTGGGACTACTGGGGTTGCAGTGGCCATGGGTTTCTACCATTACCTCAAGTATTACTGCAATGGACAGCGAACTTGGGCAGGACAGCAGACTGAGCTTCCCCCAACTCTACCTGTCATCAACAGTACAGTGACCATTACAACAAATGATAAGTAAGTATTTTTGTTTTATTTCTGGAAATTTGTCTCCAAGGCAAAGATGTCAAGCCGTTTGCCTCAGTCTTCTTCTTCTCCTTCTTTTTCTTATTTCACTGGCTGTAAACTCCGGCAGAAAATTCTATTTGTTCATCCACGACTGGGCTTTGGTCTTGATCCAGAATTTGAGTTTTGTGTACACTTGTGCTTTACAAATCTGAATTATTTGTATGCAAACTTATGATTCCTTGCCTCTAAGGCAGATGCAATCTGACTTCGAAGGAAACACCTTAACTAGTCGTCTCCTGTGTCATCGATGTTATGGTGGGAATGAGTCTGTTGTTTGTTTTCCCACAATGGACCTCTGGAACCCACACAGGAAGCCTCACATTCTTAAAGTCGTGGGTTTTTCTTGGACTGCATTGTTCGGTTCGTGAGTGCAATTTTCACAGAGATCCCTGTGGATCGTTGCTGGATTTGCAGAGTTCATGATTTGTGTGACGCTCTTGACAGTATGCTTGCCTCTGCAGAGAGAGACCGAGCCACATGGGATAAAGCCCTGTGCTGTGAAGTTGATTCTCTCGACTGTAACATTTTAGTTTATTTGTGATATCTTTATTGCAGAATGGTTAGACTATCTGCCCTGTGTTTTTGAGGTTGTAAGTTTGCTTCTGAAACCTAAACAGGGAGAGTGGCTATTTTAGGGCAAGTTGAGCATTGTATAACAGAAACAAGTTTAGAAAAAAATCCCCATATATTGGACACCAGATATACATCCATTTAGACTTTTAGAATTATTAGTAAATTAGTTCCAGTTTAATAGCAAATGAGTCACCCTCACAGTTGCTCCATTCATATGCCAACACAGGATGTTCATCCTTGTTCTTTGGGAAAAAACTATTACAGATGGTAGTCACAGCAAAGCCATTAACATACGCACACATTAAATGCATGAGGCCGCTGTCAGAAGTGCCAGTACCTTGTATTATTGTTGTATACGACCTTGAATTATTTTATATATGACCTTGTTTTTGTTTTTATAAAGACCCTGTACTATCATTGTATAAGGCTTAGTAGGATTGTTGCATAAAACCTTGTATTATTGTTGTATTAGTTAGTCTTTCCTCTTGAGCCTAGGGCGGCGCATAGGGCAGAGGTCATAGCTCTCCATATCTGGTGGTTTGTTGCCACCTAAGTCTTGGATGTTTGTTAGGCCCATAGTTAAGCCTTCCCTGATGAAGGTTCAACACAGAGTCTCTGTTGGTCTTCCTCGTTTTCTTTTCCCTTCCGGTGTTCGTATGAGGGCTCGATGGGGGAGTCTTGTCTTATTCATTCTGAGTGCATGGCCTATGTAATTCCAGCAGGCGCTTTCTTATAAAATTTGATACATTTTCTTGCTTGGTCTCTTGTCTTATTTGCATATTGGATCTGAATTTTGTCCAAATTTGTGGTATAAGACCTTGTATTGTTGCTGTTGTATAAGACCTTGTATTATTGTTGTTTAAGAGCTTGTATTATTGTTATATAACAGCTTGTATTAGTATTATTGTTGTATCAGACCTTGTATTATTGTTGTGTAAAGCCTCGTATTGTTGTTGTATAAGGCCTTGTATTGTTGTTGTATAAGATCTTGTATTATTGTTGTTTAAGAGCTTGTATAATTATTGTATAAGGGCTTGCATTATTAGAAATCTGAAGAATGTTGATGGATTTGTAGATGGCCATAAGGCATACACTATATAACATATTCATTGAAAAAATCTGTCATTGGAATAAAAATGCTGTGTGAAGCAAATCTGCATACATTGAGAAGTTTTTTTCAATTGTTATCTAAAAATGTGTCCCAACAATAATGCTAAAGCCGTTGGCCAGCAGAACACAAGAAAGATCAAAGAAACTTGCGTACAAATATCATCATCATCAGGTGCCTTGCCAACTGGTGTGGCGATCTCCTGCAGCATGTATTAGTTTGTGTGCTGACACACCTCCATGCCATGCAACAAGACTGTCAAGAATCTTCTCTCATTGTCTTCCTCTATCCCTCCTTCCACAGATCTTTCCAGTGGTCACAACATGTTCCATATTCCCTCTTCTCATAACATGGCCGAAAAATGATGACTGTCTCCTTCTGATGTCTGTGATTAGTTGTCTCAAGCTCCCACCTCCTTCAAAACCTCTTCTGTAAAACCACATCTCTGAGGCCTCAAGAAATTGTTTGGTCTGCCTACCGATTGTCCAGGACTCACAGCCATGTGTTAAAACTGGATGTATGTAGCAAGCAAGAATTCTTTTTTTAACCATCAGTGACAAAGATATATCATTTTATAAAATGCAGTTTTTGCCTTTCCTGTTTTGTTTCTTATCTCAGTAATGCATCTTCCATCTGATGTTATCCATGTGCCCAGATACTTAAATTTCTGTACTTGTCCCAAAATAACACAATTGACTTTTATTACACATTTAGGAATAATTCTTTTCTTTGATACCACCATTACTTCTGTCTTCCCATTATTCAGAGTGAGGCCCATTCTTCCACTTTCTACCACCACAATGTCTATCATTTCCTGTAGTTCTTTCTTTCTTTCTTTGCGTACATATATTTGTGTAAAATTTATTTATTTTATTTCAAAAAGGTTTCGATACTACCAGAATGTGTGCACACTGAGTTATTCAATGGCCTTCTGGCAGTGGGACCGATGGGAACAGGAAATTGATTGGATGGCATTGCATGGAATCAATTTGCCACTAGCTTTTATAGGGCAGGAGGCCATCTTCCAGACAGTAAGATGTTTTGTTTCTAATAAATTATTTTTTTGGGGAGGATTTAAAAAAAATATTAGGAATGGATAAAATAAAATAAAATCTAAAGATGTCATTCTTGGAAGGTTTTCTGAGCTTTGCTTGTTTCTGTACAGCCTATTTCTTTTCCATTAGTTTCACAGTCCTTTGTTCTGTTCATACAGATCTTTTTTCTTTGATATTTGACTAGATTGTTTCTTTATCTACTTGTTGGGCATGTGTTTATTTCATGTTTACTCGTTTGAATGAAGAAGCTGCCCAAAACTATTGTCTCAATCAGAAATTGAGAGTTCAGGTCCACTTTAAGCAAACAAATTTGTATTCAGTATTATCTATAAGTATTGTTTTTATTTAAGGATAGGTTCTATCTATCTATCTATTGTCTTCTTCACTTTTACCGGGTTGCAGCCCAGTGTCATGGTTTAAAATATTTGTTTTGTGCCTCTCGCGTGATTTGAGTGACAGTTTTCTGGATCTTCTGGCCGTATTCAGCTACTCCATCTATCCATTTTTTCCTGGGTCTTCCTCTGGCCTTTCTTCCCGATGTTCTATTGTAAAAGGCCTTATAGGTAATCTGATCCGGTTGCATTCTTACTAAATGACCAAATAAGGATAGGTGAAACCCCCAAATTGAAATTGATTAAATCTGTTGGAAATAATGCTTTCTGTAGGTACATACTAGTTAAAGATTGAAGGATAATTAATTTTGGGGCCTAAAATAAACATATTTTCATGGATATTGATAGAAAATGTCATAGTTTATGCGGAATATAGCCAAATTTGTACTCAACATTTGCCAAAAACTAATAAAGATGGCTTAATGAAAATTTGCACATATATTTAGCATTATATATCAAAATGTTTGTGCTAAATACTATTCACTTAAAGCAACGTTTTAAAAATTATATTTGTTTTGAGCATGACAAAGAAATTTCATTAGTTCTTGTAATGTAAATCAGTAACTTTCATACAGAGTGGAATATATGTTGCCTCCAAAAATAACCGACACGTGTTTTCATTGTAGTTTTTTATTTCTCTGGGTTTTTGCTACATATCTTCTGGATCATTGAAATAGTCAAAACATTAGAGGTGCATACTCTTCTCAGGTAGAATTTCTTGTCTGTAAAACTATCTTTTTTAGGATATCACTTTTCCACGAAACAATATTTTGTGGGTTCCCTAAGTACAGCTTTTCAGTTAGACCATCTTTTCAAGAAAAAAGCTTTTCAGCTAGATTCTCTTTTAAAATCATCTCTTTCAGAGACCGTCTTATTATATAAAATAGATTTGGCAGTGAACTTTAAGAATTTAGATGTTCATTTTTAAAAAAATAGGGTGGTCACATTTTAAAAACAGTTTCAATTCTTTCAGTACCGGCCTGTAATTACTTCACTCCTTATGTCACAAGATTTTATAGTTTAATCATAAATCGAGGTTCCAACATTACCGCAGATTGGTCGCCCCATAACCATTCCATACCTGTGCTAGTGGAAATCACACACAACCTCCTTCACTGTCCCATTTGAAGACTAGTGAAGAAATTGTCAGTCTCAGCACAATTTTAAAGCTTGCACATGCAAAGTAAAATGCATAAGGCAACTGTCAGATGTGCCAACACTAATGGTCCCCCACCAAAATTGCAGCTGACTGTTGGCATAAACGGTTAATTATTAAAGCCAGCGTTTCCCCCTCCAAACTACACACTGTTCTGAAGTAATTGACTACATTCCATTTTATTGCAGTCAACAACACACTGTGGGTACCACAGAAAAAAAACTTACAACAACATTGCACATGAAACCCACAGCTCATAGATTAAAGTAGCTAATGTCTGAGTTTAGAGAAGTTAAAGTTATAACACTTTAGGCACAATAAGTGAAATTCCATAATTTGGATTAATGAGTTAATGTAACAACTATCCATGATAAAAAAAGAGTCAGAAATTTGGACTAACTAAAGAACATATGGTGAGCTGCGAGGTATGAGGAGGGTTAAAGGTATTTGTTAGCAGTTATCCAAAGCAGAGATAATGGGAGTAAAGATCTGCAGAGCCAAGCATGAGATGTACACCAGATGTACAAAAAAGTCTTTAAAACCAGCACAGGACTGGCACGATTAACTACTGGATGCTGATACATGTATTAAAGGTGGAATCTGAGATTCTGTGGATGTTTCTGGAGTGCCGGGAAGATAACTCCACTCACGACTTATAACCAAATCATTTCACCAGAATGATTGCAAGAATGTTGTTAAAATGTTTTGTTAAAGTAAGAACAGCATTAACAGTTTCTTTCTTTTGCCCTACAGGTGTACTTAAGCTTGGGCTTCACTCAAGCAGACTTGAATGAGTTTTTTGCTGGACCTGCTTTTTTGGCTTGGTAAGTTCGTAGAAATCATGTTTGTTCTGATTGCACTGTCATTAGTTAAAAACCAGCTTTTGTTACTGATAGACTCAAATGTGTTATTAATTTGTATCTTCCCAATGTGTATGTGTGCGCACGTGTGCGTGTGTTTTTTCCCCCATTCTGCTCTTTCCACTTCTTATCCTTTTATTACCAAAGTCCTAGTCACTATGGCACCCCAGCTGCATATTTTTAACAGCTTGAAAATGTATTCTCACACTGATTGTAAACACTTTGAAGAATAATCCAAAGATTTGTCTGGAGTGATATGATGATAATCTTCAATAATCACTATATTCACTGAATTATTGAATTTATATATAAACATATAATTAGTTATAACCCACAATGTTGAACACAAAGCTCCCCATATGAGTTCTGGAGCCTTATTGGAGTTGGGGGAAGGGGGGTGAATAGATCCACTGCCTCTTAACAAAAAAACAAAAAAAGTGACTAATTAAAGGTTTCCTGAAATTTAATGTGTTAGGCTGAAAAATGTAGAAATCACAGCCTCACTGTAAACCACAACACATCATGCTAACTACCATTTTGAGTTCGAATACAGAAAGAAGAGGAAGAATAATCACTAAAGAATAATTCTGCTTATATATTTCAGGGGTAGAATGGGTAACCTCCGGGGATGGGGTGGAACTCTGCCTCAGATGTGGATCACAAACAAACTGTTGCTGCAGCACCAGATACTAGAACGCATGCGTTCCTTGGGGATGATTCCAGTGCTTCCTGCATTCGCTGGACATGTTCCAAGTGCAATCACAAGGTGGGTTTCTAATGTGGTGTTGAAAGTCTGTATGTTTGTCCCCTTTGGGATGCTACCTGAAGGAATGACCACTCTTGCAACCTCAAGAGTCTCATCCTGGATAGCAATCCAACAGAAAAAAATCCCAGATACCTCCTTCAACCTCCAAAGAAGCTATGATTAAGGCTGTCCAATGGAGAAAATCCAGATATCTCCTTCAACCTCCAGAGAAGTTATAATTAAGGCTATCCAACAGAGAAAATCACAGATGCATCCTTCAACCACCAGAGAAGTTATAATTAAAACTGTTCAACAGAGAAAATCCCAGATACCTCCTTCAACCTAAAAAAAAGTTATTATTAAGGCTGTCCAACAGAGAAAATCCGAGATACCTCCTTCAACTTCAACCTCCAGAGAAGGTATAATTAAGGCTGTCCAACAGAGAAAATCCCAGATACTTCCTTCAACCTACCAAAACAAAGTTATAATTAAGGCTATCCAACAGAGAAAATCCCAGATACCTCCTTCAACCTAAATAACAAGTTATAATTAAGGCTATCCAACAGAGAAAATTCCAGATACCTCCTTCAACCTAAATAACAAGTTATAATTTAGGCTATCCAACAGAGAAAATCCCAGATACCTCCTTCAAGCTCCAAAGATGTTATAATTAAGACTGTCCAACAGAGAAAATCCCAGATACCTCTTTCAACCACAAAAGAAGCTGTCATACAGGGAAAATTCCAGATACTTTCTATCACCTATAGAGAGGTTATAAATAAGGCTGTCCAACAGAGACAATTCCAGATACCTCCTTCAAGTTGCAAAGATGTTATATAATTAAGGCTGTCCAACAGAGAAAATCCCAGATAGCTCCTTCTGCCTCAAAAGAAGCTGTCCGATAGAGAAAATACCAGATGCGCCTTTCAATCTTAAAAGAATGTATTTGGCAGCCCAGCTGAGCAGATACCAAATACTTCTTTCATCTTTTAAAGAATTATTAATTAGGGCACTTATAATGACTAAACCAAGTATTATCCTAGTGTACGATGCAGTCCTCATCTGATAAAAAGGTAAAGTAAAAGTCGGGAGATGTGAACCAGCAACATTGCACATGGTTATAAACCATAAGTGCTCTGCCACCAGTACGGTCACCTGATAAGAAACTGTCCGCCTGTGTTGCCGTCCGAACGTAACTCTGTAGCTACAGCGATGTTCCTCTATTTACTCCAGAGTGTTAACACTGGTACCCATTTCCTAGAGGCTGGGTGAACCCCGAGAACCGCCCAGCTTCGATCACCAGCCGTGGGCTGCAGCGAGTTGCAGCTGGATTTGAAAGCGAATCTCATATCAACTGAGCTAACGAGCCTCTGCGCTAACAGAGTCACCTTCTAATATCACCACAGAAAACCATCAAAGGGTTGTGTCTTGCTTCCACCTTGATGATTTTGAGAATAGGTTTTCTCTCTGCAGCTGGTCTTTGATCTGCTTGTAAGTCTGCTCAGTTCTAATTTTTCTTTATCACCAGCACCTGATAAAGTGAAAAAATTATATCCATGACTGTCATCTTATTTGACAGCTGCATCTCTGCTTTGCTGTTCATCTTGATGTCTCCAACTAGCTTAACAGTCTTGGTGGTTTTGTCAGAGTCCCAACCACTCTGTCCTGTGTTTTTATCATTGTGGGTGATGGACCACTTTTGTAATAGGTTCTCCAGGATAGAAAGTATCATCAGCATGGTTAATTTGGCCTGGCCTAAATTGATCTGTTGGAGCATAACCTTTACTTGAAAATCATGACCATCGGCTCACTGTCTCTCTGGTGAGTGATGTTTCTGTGAACTGTTCTGATGCTCTTGGATAGTTGACCTGTCTGCCTTCTCTGTTGTCACTTGGGTTGTGACTGTATCTGTGGCAGATGGCTTGTTGACATTCTTCTGTAATTTCTTTGAATTATTACTGTGTTCTTACACACCCGCAGAGAGAAAGATGGAGAGAGAGAGAGGAAGGAAGTAGAGAGAAGCAATAGAAAGAGAAAGGGTTTTGAAAGAAAGAGGAGGAAGAGAGAGAGAAAGAACTATTTGATTATGTATGAGTTTTTTAAACCTCTGTACAATGTATTCAGGGAAACCATCTAGGTGTAGTGGCTAGATGCTCTTCTGTGGAGTTGAAGGTCATGGCTTCAAATGTGAACAAAGCTGGACTTTTTTTTTCAAAAATGACCTTGGGTCCCAGGTCGACCAAACCTTAAATGGATTCTAGGGAAATTTCTGGGAAGTAATGGTAGCTGGCAGGATGCTGAGCACATCACCCACTAAGTGCCGACTGGTCTATAAAATATAGGTCTGGCAGAGAAAATTTACTACGCATTTATTGCATATTATGCCTGATTGAATGGAAAAGACTAATTTTTACAGTGTATTGAATTAGTTTCAGATCACATGATTCAATACCAGAAGTGAAGGAGAGAGGGGAAGGAGGAAGGGAGAGAGAGGATTAGAGAAAAAAAAAAGGGGGGGAAGAGGGAGAGAGAGATTTGATTATGTTTAATTTTATTGTAAATGTCTAAACAGTGTAATAAAATTTTGTTTAAAAGTACAACATGTTCCAAGTGCCACTCTTATCATCACAAAACTAAAAAAAAAAAGTATCTTTCTTATTGTCACACATAATGTTCTACATTCATTAGCTTGTTGTAGACAATATATTTGTTAGTCACTTGGCTATCAAGTAACTAGATTTTTTTCTTCTGAAATGGTCAATTCGGATACTTGATTTTTTCCTAAAATAACTTTGCTAATTAAGGTATTTGATTTTGTCTGAAATTGTTGATTAGAATATCTGAATTTGTTTGAAATGTTTATTCAGGGTTTTCCCTCAGGCTAATGTTACACGGTCACCTCTCTGGAGTCATTTCAATTCAACATACAGTGCGTAAGTAGTCATATTTTCACTTTAAGGTCAATATACTGTTAAAGAAAACGAAAATGTAGTTATCCAATGGCACATTTTTAATAATTCAGCCCTGTATGCCTCAAACCCTATTGATGACTCAGATGCAAAAAAACTGTCAATTGATTGGTCGAACCCTAATGTTGTATGACTATTTTTAAATAAAATGGCTTTGGCACCTGGGTCACCCCAGCCTTGAGTGGGTACCGGGTGCAGTCCCAGGAAGTAAAGGCGGCCGGCATGATGCTGACCACCACCACATCACCTATCTTGTTTTGATTGATCTATAAAATGTAGGCCTAGCCCTAAATGCTCTATACGCCTAAAGGCTTGGAAAAAGGTCCTTTACTTTACTTTTACTTAGGTTGTATGCAATTTAAACAGTTTCAGTCAAATTACAAAGATTTTGAATCTCAAAATTATGACAAATTATATTCATTTCAGTAGCTATGAATTTCATTTTTTGAATACTATATATGAGGTATAGTTTTTGTTTTTGCTTGTTGGTTTAAGTCTTTTCAGTACCATACATATTACTTCACCACTTTCTAATTCAAAGTTTAACACTTTAAAGCAACAGTCTTTGAATCTTAGTGTACTAATATAGTAGAGATAGGAACATGGGAACATGGCGAGTTAATGTAGCTATTACCTTAGAAAGGATAAATGTGTCAAAAGAACAGAGTCAGTACAGTTTTAAAATAAGGATTTATTATTATTTAGAAGTGTATGTATAATTTGATCACATTCCAGTGTTTGTAATCAATATTTAGTGTTTGCTGGTGATGTTTATTATTACCTGTTTAAATCAATATGAATGAAAAAACATATGAGAGGAATCTGGTCAGAAGGGCAGAATATAAGGAGGGCCTGTATGCAGAATTCCTAACCCTTTAGAAATAAAGTTTATTCATTCGTTCTTTCATTTGTTTATTTGTTGTAATACCACATTTTAGTGTTATTTTATGATGAAACAATTTTCCATTTGTTTAAATCCAAGGAATTCTTTTATTATTTTATCGCATTCTGTATTACAACAGTGTCCACCACCATATATTTTACTACAACATATTTTTCTTTTGTCTATTATCCTGACAACCTCATATCAGGCTTTTCTGTCCTTTGCTGTCATTTATTGTTCTCTTTATGTCTTTCCTGTATCTCTTTTCAGTGTCTATAATTCTTTTCTCTGAGCATTTTATTTTCTCTGTGTATTCCTTTCTGTTTGAATTCTAGAGGGAATTTCTAGTTATATTTGTCTTCCTCAATGCATTACTGAATATAAAAATGATTCTATCAAGCTAATTGTAACATCTGATTATTTTTTTCCCCAGCAATTACCTCCTGAATTTTCAAGATCCATTATTTATCAAGATTGGCAAGCTAATTATTGAAACAGTGAGTACACATTTGTGTAGTTTCATGAAGCTACTTGGATTTTAAATTTAATTTCTGTAAATATGAATACATTTTTACCACAGCTGTTTTTTAACCCCTGTCACCTCAAAAAAAAAAAAAAAAAAAAATTCAGGTAAAGCACATTACCTTTAACTGTCACTTTACTGGCATTGCTAAAGTATCTTTTTCACAAAAAAAAAAAAAAGACTTTTGGGAAAAAGGGGAAAGGGAAAGGTGGGGGGGGGGGGGGCCTATGACTACTCATTAGTATTACTGGTCCCCCCCCCCCCCCCCGACCTGGTTACATGCTGAAATAAAAATCACCATAAACATTTTTTAATGGTAACAGAGATGTTAGCCAGTGTATTCTCTGCTGCCTTCATGTTTATTGATTACTCCCCTTTTTGTTATAAAAAGGCTTTATATATACAGAAATTTTTACCAAAAAAAAAAGTTTGTGGTGACCTTTATGAAGTGATTGTTTTCATTCAGATTTAGTGGGGGACTGAAAAAAGGGGTGGCAGGATCCGGAAATACATATTATTCGATTTGTTTTTCTAGGGTTTGCAGTGTAAAAAGGTGAATGGAAGACAGTTACAACGTTGATAAAACTCTTCTGATATTGAAGTATATCTCACACATTACTGATTCTGGGTCCTTCTTTGGGGGGAAAGGGGGGGGGGGGGGGGTTGGCAAGTATAGACCCTGCCTCCAAATAAGCATGGTCGTACAAGGCGACATTAAAAGTTTGCTGAAATCAGGTGTGTTGGACTGATATCACAGCCTAGTTGCCAACCATTACACAATGTGTCAACCACTTTTTTCAAGATGAATGCAGAAGAAGAAGAAAAATTAATGTCTTATAACATGTTTAAACAACGTCGTTATTTTGCAGCGAGACAGGCCAAAGTTGCCTAAAACTATCTTTGATATTGAAAAAATTGCACAGGATAGAACCTAAGCTCTATCCATGATATTTAAGTAATAGCATAGGATAAAACCTGGATTGCATCCATGATATTGAAACAGTTACACAGGATAGAACCTAGGTTCTATCCATCATATTGAAACAGTTACACAGGATAGAACCTAGGTTCTATCCATCATATTGAAACAGTTACATAGGATAGAACCTAGGTTTTATCCATCATACTGAAACAGTTACACAGGATAGAACCTAGGTTCTATCCATGATATTGAAACAGTTACACAGGATAGAACCTAGGTTCTATCCATCATATTGAAACAGTCACACAGGATAGGACCTAAGTTCTATCCATGATACTGACACAGTTACACAGGATAGAAGGGAATGGCAAAATAAACTGTCACTGTGCGATGTGTTATGGCACCAAAAAATATTGATGGTTATTATTTTGCAGGTGTTTGAATATACGATCATTGATTGTGTATCTCAGATCAAATATAAAGTTTCAGTATTTTAACTGCAGATGAGGAATGAGTTTGGCACAGATCACATTTACAACTCTGACACTTTCAATGAAATGGAACCAGCATCAAAGTAAGAATTAATGAATACATCTGAAAATGGTGAAGATGGTTCTATATTACATAATGCTGATACTGTTTTTTCATGTAATATTTTTTTTCTCTCCAAAATCTGCTGTGAAATTACTTGAACCTGTCAATTTTCTCCCTAAAAGAAACACCATGGGTGAGAATGGAACTGCAAAAGAGAGGTAGAGAGAGAGAGAGAAAGAGAGAGAGAGAGAGAGAGAGAGAGAGAGAGAGAGAGAGAGAGAGAGAGAGAGAGAGAGAGAGAGAGAGAGAGAGAGAGAGAGAGAGAGAGATTTGTTCCAAATCTACTGTGAAATTATTTGAACATATCAATCTTCTTTTAGAAACACACACTAGCTGAAAACAAAGGCAGACAGAAAGACAGAGAGAGAAGGAGAGACATAAAGACACTGTCAGCGACCTAATTTACTAATGTATTTTCTATGGCTCGCTAGATAGGCCAGCTAACAGACTTCACTACCCTGAACACACTTAAGACACCCACCTGCTGAGTACAAACATAATCTTTAATGTACAATGAACAATACAGCTAGAGACACCCTAACTATGTTGGCAGTCCTTATCTGAAATGGTTGGCGTTGAGCAGCTTTTACATTCACTGGTCAACCCAAGCCGTTCCCATGGATCCCCAAGGACACGATTCCTAACTTACAGTTTATCAGTGCTAACTAAACCGCAGACTGTTGCCACACGGAACTCAGCGGCACACTGCGGTGTATGGCCTTAACGTGACTGGGCAGTGATACCGCCCCTAACAATGTGTATCACACATTCACTAGCTGCTCAACAAATACTGCGAGGAACGTCCACTATACAAGGAACATTAACTCTACACTATCTCATCGAAACATTAAATGGAAACACAGCCTATCAAAGATACTAAACACCAATACTATTTATTCTAGCCGTCACTAAACTAATGTACTTTTACCTAGTCAAAGCGCTACGTCTCGTCCCCTCCAATGTCCACTACACAACTCTCCATTCGCCAGCTCTGTCAAAGCTTTTTGTTCCCCTCCTGCGTTCATCACTCGACACGCAGTAATCCGTGTCAACCGTGTGACCTTGGGCTTAGCCAGTTAACTTGACCCAGTTTATTCCGTGGTCAAGTTGCCCGCTCTCACACTGAGCTATACTGAGGGTCAGCTCGTTCATACGTGATGATTCACTGTCATCAACTCCGTTCATCCCGTAGCCGAACTGGCCTCTGACAGACATAGAGAGAGGGAGGAGGGAGGCAGATATACACATTTAAATAACAAGACAGAGCACTTTTCTGAATTTGAAACAGAATTACTGTTTGCCCTTGGCTCCATGCTGCATATAAAACAATGCAATTTTCACTAGCTAAACAAATGATGGGTTACTTGTTGTCTGCTGACCAGATGGCATTACAAGTTTGTCAGATCATAGATGAATGGTGCCTGTTTTTGAGACATGCTTTGCTTCAAGGATGGCATTACAAGTTTGTCAGATCATAGATGAATGTTGTCTGTTTAGGAGACATGCTTTGCTTCAAGGAAGGCATTACAAGTTTGTCAGATCATAGATGAATGGTACCTGTTTGGAGGACATGCTTTGCTTCAAGGATGGCATTACAAGTTTGTCACATCATAGATGAATGGTGCCTGTTTGGAGTACATGCTTTGCTTCAGTGATGGCATTACAAGTTTGTCAGATCATAGATGAATGGTGCCTGTTTGGGAGACATGCTTTGCTTCAAGGATGGCATTACAAGTTTGTCAGATCATAGATGAATGGTGCCTGTTTGGAGGACATGCTTTTCTTCAAGGATGGCATTACAAGTTTGTCAGATCATAGATGAATGGTGCCTGTTTGGGGGACATGCTTTGCTTCAAGGATGGCATTTTTGTTTTGACCATATTGAAATCAGTCTCATTATTTACTTTTTCAGATTATATATAGCCGCTGCCTCCTAACACAGAAAAAGAAGAAAAAAACTAAAGGCTTTAGAAATAAAGTTTCTTTAACTCATTTGATACTAGAGGGCAGTTAAATTAGATATAAATCAACACGTGATAAGTGCAAGGGTTAGATAATAGAGTCACTGCTTCCAACAAAAGTATTTCAGGATCCTTGCCGGTGCTACGGAGTTGGTGAGCTGGGCTGAGATTCTTCGGACTCATGCTTGTGTTAGAAGTAGAACGAAGCACTTATAGGTTATTACCCTTGTGCCATGATGTTGATCCATTGTATAAACATATAAACTAATAAAGTTTCTTGTTTAACATTGTCTCTTGCATAGCATTATCTCTTGCATAGCATTTGTACTGAATGACTATTGGCTAATAAATATTTGGCTGAATGAACAGCCTTGTGTGTGTGTGGCACCTGATCAGTATTTAGTCATGTTGTCTTATCAGTATTTAGTCATGTTGTCTTATCAGTATTTGCAGTATTTGGTCATGTTGTCTTATCAGTATTTGGTCATGTTGTCTTATCAGTATTTGGTCATGTTGTCTTATCAGTATTTGGTCATGTTGTCTCATCAGTATTTGGTCATGTTGTCTTATCAGTATTTGGTCATGTTGTCTTATCAGTATTTGGTCATGTTGTCTTATCAGTATTTGGTCATGTTGTCTTAACAGTATTTGGTCATGTTTTTAACAGAGACCCACAGTACTTAAGTGCTTCTGGTAGTGCTGTATTCAATGCTATGCTGGCTGGAGATCCTAAGGCTGTTTGGTATGTTGGCCTTTTTATTATCTGGGGGATTCTTGTAGCATTATTTATTATTTTGAAAAAAAAAAAAAGATAATAGTCGGGAGATGTGAACCAAGGTCATAGCACACAGTTATTAACCATAAGTGCTCTGCCACCAGTACTGACAGCTGATAAGAAACTGTCCGTCTGTGTTGCCATCCGTAGCTACAGCGACGTTCCTCCATTTACCACAGAGTGTTAACTCTGGTACCCATTACATAGAGGCTGGGTGAACCCCGGAACCGCCCAGTTTCCAACACTGTTCTTGGGCTGCAGCGAGTGGCAGCTGGATCTGAAAGCGAGTCTCCTATCAACTGCACTAATGCGGCCCGACAATTATTTTGTAAGAAATGTACTACTAAAATGTTGCATCATTTTTTTTCTGCTTATATCTATTAAAAGAATCAAGAATGAATATATCACTTCTTAAAATGTAGATATTTCACTGAAAATAAAATTTTCTTTAATTTAATTTGAACTCTCACATTTTATCTATTATAAAGGAGAGTACTGTTTTTGGTGATATAGTTTTTTAAATTGTTATCAGTTAATTTGTGTTTTCTTTTTAGAGTGAGTATGTATTGATTTGAGAAAGAGAGAGAGAGAGAGAGAGAGAGAGAGAGAGAGAGAGAGAGAGAGAGAGAGAGAGAGAGAGAGAGAGAGATAGATAGATAGATAGAGGTGGAAGAAAAAGAAGAAGAAAAAGAAGAAGGGCCTTTTGTTAACAGTGGTCAGCAACTGTCTAGAGGACAAACTCAAAAAAAAAAAAAAAAAAAAAAAAAGCCATAAACGAAATGGGCCAGCCAATTTTTGATAGGGAGGAATTGACACATGTGGTTAACTCTATGGCAATAACCATATGCCTGATGTGCTAGGTTTATAAAAAATGTCCTATATGTATTGACCAGGCTGATGCAAGGGTGGTTATTCCTGGACAGCTCATTCTGGCAACCTGCCCAAGTGAAGGCTCTGGTTACGTCTGTTCCTAAGGTGAGTATTTGTTCCATGTTTGTATGTTAGAAAATTCAGTGGCAAACCACTGAATGTATAATTAGTGGGAACAGTAGCAGTTAGGCTGGGTAAACCTGCATTATGTAAACACAAAACAAAAAGATCACACTACATGAGCTCAAGCGGAACATAATCTCCTTAATGCGTTTTCCAAATATGTTAATATACTGTGTTAGTTAATCAGGATAGTCATTTGTGTTTATTCCCGTTTGGTTTAAAAAAGATAAAACAACTGGCTGGTGAAAAAGTATTTAACAAGTGTAGAAATCTAAAACCTTCAAAAGTTCTAATAATTAAAAACATGTGCATTTAGTGGCGTAAGAAGAAAAAATATAAAGCCTTATTTCTGTCAACCTACAACTTGCTTGTTAGGGAGTGTAGAAGAACAGATCACTGATTCCACCCCCCTTCCCACCCCTCCTCCAATCCTAACCACTCCTCAACAAAAGTAATGATGTAAATAGGGGGTGAATGCAGTTGAGCAAGAAATGCTAAATACAACACAAAATGTGATAAGAAAGCTCAATGGAGGGAATGGAGCAGACGCACACAAACAGAACTGAACATTCCTCAACAAGCAAGTTGTAAAAGTGGACAAATTAGGGGATTACTGAAATCAGATGTGTTGAGCCAAAAAATCTCAGATATCATAGCCTAGCTGTAAACCATGACACAATGTGCCAACTGCCCTTTTAACCCTACCAGACCGCTAGCCCGATTTTCCGGGAATTTCCTAACCAGCCGCTATACCGCTGCCCCATTTCCCAGGAATTTACCTTGTATGTGAAAAATATGCGTCACAGACTAAAAATAACCAGCCAATTGCCATCAGACTTCGTTGTTAGTCATTGCGAATGACTTCCCACGTGTGTTGAGATTTCTTTGTGTGGTTTGATGTGAAAACAATTAGGAAAATTCTCAATGAAATGAGCAGCTTCGACAAGAAAGTGACGTGGGTCTAGGCTTTTCACAATCCAACAGGTGATCGATACTTTGGTTAATTCAGACTGTGAATACGTTCATGAAGAATGCGTTCCAAGTTGAAGTGACACAGTCAGTGAGAGCTAGAATGAGGAGGAGAATTATGAAAATTATAGATTTAAAACTAGATTGATAGTAAGGGGGCATGCCCCTCAAACAGCAATATCTGGTGCTTACTTTGTGAAACAAGACTGATCCTACTAGATGGATTGGCACACAAAGGTGGAAGATTGGCGCTAGATGAAAGGTAAACCTATTTTCTACAATGTCTCCAAGTTTTATCTTATTCTAACAACTTGTTTGCATGTAACTAATTTTTTTGTACATCATGTTGGTTTTTTCGTGTTAGTGCCCAGGAGCTCAGGTTATAGGGACAGTTAGGTTCAGGGCCTCAGGTCTGGTAGGGTTAAGGGTGAATAAAGAGGAAGAATAACAAAAAGAGCTTATAAGCTGATCATAAATAGTTTTACTAGTGACACTGAAACAGAACAAAGGGGACGTATTAAGAAACTACCTCTCATGGAGAAAAGAAGGTGCCAAAAAGCTGCTGCATTTTTGAAACAAATGTACCACTAGAAAGTAAGTAGAGACATGATTGCTTCTGAAGCAGATACAGATATTTAATTGAGAGATAACAATGTTGTTTTGTTTTGCCAGGGTCGTATGATTATCCTTGACCTGGCCTCAGAAACCAGTCCTGTGTATCAGAAGCATGAATCTTTCTATGGTCAGCCATTTATTTGGTGCATGCTACATAATTTTGGCGGGACAAACGAGCTCTATGGGACAGTGAACAGCATTAATAATGTAAGTTCTTTCAGAGAGCAAGTTAAGCAACAGTTCTTTGTTACTCTGAAAAGTGTTTGAATAGTTAAAAAAGTGTTTGAACTCTTTTGTCATTTGTCTAGTTCAATATTTTTATTTGCATACATTTCACGTTTAGTGGCCAGGGCCATATTCAGGCATGTGCTATATGTGCAGCTGCATAAAATGCCCCCCCCCCCCCACAAAGAGCTTTGTGTAAATTGAACAGTATTAATAATTTGGCTATCCTCCGAATAACGGTCCTAATTTATCTACACAGAAAGTAATCCCTAACAGGGCTTCAGTCACGTGTCAATTGCGCAGTTCTGTCGTCTTGAAATGCGAGCTTTCGGCGACTTCCGCCGCCGCCGAATTGCGAAGTTTCGGCAACCACCGAAAGTACTCCGCCGAGAGTACTCCCAACGCCGCTCAAGCGGCGTGGATTGGGGCTAAACTAGATGGCTGGGACTCACGAGCAGCAGCTACCGCATTTCCTGCAGCTGCCGTCGTTTTATTTGCTGGTGAGTCCTAGCCATCTAGTGTAGCCCCAATCCACGCCACGTGCCGGTATAGTCCCCTGAAGTACGCAATTGACAGGTGACAGAGGCCCTCTTAGGGGTTACTTTCTGCGTAGATAATTTAGGACCTTTATTTGGAGGATAGCCAATAATTTTAATTCTTTCAGATAGCAAGTTACACACAGGTTTTTATGTTTTTGTTAGTAAGAAAAGTGTTTAATTCTTTTAATATATCTTGCCACTCTTTGTGATTCAAGATTTTGTTAGTAGCATACAGTTAACCCTATATGGCTGAACTTGCTATGCTGCCGGATTTCAGATTTTTATCATGAAAATTTTAAACATCTTAAGTATTGTATTTTGTTATGTGTGAATTGTACAGAAATAATTTGCTTATTGTTGTAAACAACATAAACCAATTTTCGTGTCGGCTGACATTTTAATATTTACTGTTGTTGATAATTTTTCTAGTGATAGAGATCATAATTAAACACACACACATTTATAAAACTACTGTTTTCTCCATCAGTGATCACACTGTATTTAGCATTGTTTTTTCCCTTTTGTTCAAGATTCCATATTTTTATACTTTCAGGGACCATTCACCGCTCGAGCATTCCCTAACTCCACAATGATTGGAATAGGCCTGACTCCAGAGGGGATCAATCAGAACGAGGTCATGTATGAGTTTATGATGGAGAACTCTTGGAGAACCGCACCCAGAGATCTTCAACAGTGGTCAGTATAAATAACATCTTGCAGCAATTAGTAATATTATCACACTGATATTTACATTGACAAGTATTGATTGGTACAAGGTTAAGTTTTTAATTTAATGATTAATAACCTACTTTACTAAGTCACTGTATTGCGGAGCGTGGGATAATCTTATGTTTTCTTTATGAGGATAAGTTATGATTTATGATTTAAATTATCTTCACAGCACTCCGGACACATCCATAGGCGCTCAGATTCCCCTCTCAACATATTCATCAGCGCCGTGCGTTTTATGAGGATGACAGCCTGCAGCCAGATCAAGTGTTCTTCACTTATTTAATTTATTGAAGTATTGCCTTTTCTGGGTGTAGGTCACAGAGTATTGATACATTGTTAACTCTTTGAGGCCCAAACAAAGGTGTGAGAGGGTTCCGTTTTGCCCAAACAACGATGTCATCGTCAATCATGTGTCCCTTACATTTTGCATCGCACACGGCTTCGTACTAGTTTCTAATGTTTGGAGGTCGAAATCCTTTTAGTTTCATTTCCTGGACTAAACCACACTTGGATAATTTGAGAGAAAACACAACAAAATTTTTTTTAGCAGTTCATTTTCTAAGTTCGTTTTTGTGTGCCATGAATACCAATGTTCCAACTACAAATATAGGTCTTTCTGCGGCCGAAGCTCTGAAATTGTTTCAATCAGATGTTCTTAATTGTGATAATAATTTAAAAAATTTAGATTTTTCGGAAAGTGATTCGGACGGTGAATTTTCACCAGCGAAGCTGAGCGATCAGCTGTTCGGAATCTAGCGATTCTGATGAGTTTATTACACAAACAATGTCGCATACTACCGTATTTATGGTGTAAGAGAAGGAAAGTGCTCTAAACAAAGACACAGTACTATACTATGGCTAAGCTACACTAAAATCAGCGCAGCTACAGTCTGTAAATAACTGTACAAAGTAAAAAGTAAATAGTGTGTGTGTAATGGCTTATTTTTCTGCCATTTTTTCTCTGAAATTTTGCTCAGCACTCTGTGAGAACTAACAGCTCCTGAGTGCTAAACTAACCCAGAAAGTTATTATAACTTTCTTTGGAATATGTTAGGAAATTGAACAAACTTTGAAGTTTTGTTATCAAATTTTGATATTTACTACTCTTGTGGCTGCAAAACGATGGTAAGTGAATTTTTGTGTGAAATGTTGTCCTTGTGAAATTAACACCTGCTGAATTCTTCTTTCCCACTAACTACAACAAAATTAAACAATCACCTATCATCAGATTCAAAATGTACATTCATTTCTGTTTTAAAAAATATATACTTTTATAGGGATTAGAGGTATATTACAATCTCTATAGCCTTTCTTGTGCACCCACCGCTCTGCCATTTGTGTAAAGGGAAATTAATTTGGGTCAAGTCTGTCAAAATTCATGGGCCTGAAAGAGTTAAGTAGATTAAAAATTAAACTTTGCATTGCCTTATTGACTTTATTTGTGTCCTTTCATATAACTGTTTCAAATTGTATGATGCCGTTTGTTATTCAAGACAACCTGATGTTGGCCACATAATGATTGAGTTCTGAATGGTCTTTAACTCTTTACGGACTAGTCACCACTTAAGTGGCTTTTGAATCCACTCATCTCGGACTATTAGCCATTGAAGTGGCGCTTCATAGAGACACTCCAATATTGTTTCATTTGCTGGTAAAACAAATTTGTATGAACATGTTTTGAAAAACTAGAATTAGCGAAACGAAGTCCTTGAAAGTTCAGCATGGTGTTTGGATAACTTTATTATTTGCTTTAAATTATTTAGATGTGATACAATATTTTACTGTATTTTTCTATATCAAATGTTTAGGGAAAAGATCTAGAGCTATACATTATTATATGTCGTTGATGAATCTCAGCTAGATAGTGACAATAGTCATGATATTATTACTGATAATGCAAGTGACAAACCTATTGGCGATAATGTAGGCTAGGATAACGCTGAACAAAATACTTCAGTTGGATCATCTCTGCTTTGATCAGCTGTTTTCCTGATTTCGGTTGTTGTGAAATCTGACATGTCATACAAAAATGGTCAAAACATACAAAGTATTTAATTTTTTGTTTTAAATAATAGCTGAAACATAATTGAACAGAGAAGGCATATGAATTCTTAGAATTGATTAGCAGTGTTGTTGAACAAGTAAAAATTAAGGTAAGCACATTTTTTGTGTGTAAATAATCTTCATGTGTGTCTAACGTTCTTGAATGTTTTTTAATTTTAATAATATTTTGTTGTAATAGGAACACTTAAATAGTTTAGATTTATTCTAATTTATCTTTAATTCAATATATTATGTGTCCCGATACAGCCAATACTTTTTCTTCAGGAAGGTTTTAGCTATGTCATGTTGCAGTAAAAATTGTCCGCTCAAAGGTAACGCTGTCCAAACTCCAGAGAAAATGTCTCCTGAAAGAGTTCAAAAGATATGTCGAGCATTATTTGCAAAATGATGCAAAAGTTTTACAATTTTGATTATTACAGAATATTTTTGTTTATCATGTTTATTGACAGTTAATGGGCAGTTAAAAAAAAAAAAATTATTAGTAGTTTTAACTAGAATACAAAAAAAATTTATTACTAGTTTTAACTAGAATACAAAAAAAATTTATTAGTAGTTTTAACTAGAATAAAAAAAAAAAATTTATTAGTAGTTTTAACTAGAATACAAAAAAAAATTTATTAGTAGTTTTAACTAGAAATACAAAAAAAAATTTATTAGTAGTTTTAACTAGAAATACAAAAAAAAATGTTTTTTTGTGTTTTTTTGTTGACCTGATGAATGAATGAATGAATTGTAAGAGTTTACTTTTCTTCATAGGACAGAGTTATTTGTACGCCAAAGATATGGATATTCGAATGCAGCTGTGAATACTGCATGGAACCTGCTAATGGTGAGTCCAGCACTTGTTGTGTGTGTGTGTGTGTGTGTGTGAACCTCTTATTGCATGTTTATAGCCCAACAATGAAAGCACTCATCATCATGTACCATGCTGATAAGCGCCAGCGATCATGTTTCCCCATCTCATATGATCACCAGAATGATGGATCCGGTCTTTGTTCATATTTCATCCCGTCCACATGGCTGTCATCCAGGTATTTACTTGTTTACCTTTCCCTTGGTACTTCTCTATCGATCTTGGCAGTTGTTTCTTCAGTCCATTCCTTCTCATCCTGTGTCCAAGAATACACAGACTATCTACATCTAATTTCTACAAATCATGACCTCTTTAGTTCCAGCAGCAACCCTCAGGGATCTCAGACTAAATAAGTGAACTGAGCCTTACAATCTGAATGAAAATGAATCAAGGACCTACAGTACTCAGTACTGTTGACTTGAGCACTGTTTAATAAAGAGCCGTGGCTAAATTTAACCGGTACTATCATTACATTTACTGTATATTTTTGACATTTTCTAGTAAAGTTTTTCTTGGGCTAAGAGTTAAAAAGAATGATTTCCCCATGTGTCTTCTGGAGCTATATTTTTGGGGGACAAACAACAGACAGAATATTAAAATAAGGCAACTTTAAAGCAGTCGACCCAGAAAATCTAGAAAAATAGGTACTTTACTTTCCAAAGGAGAAGAATTAGATCGACAAACAATAAATGAGCTGCTATTTGCAAACGATCTGTGCCTGTTCTACATTGAGGGGAGTAGACTGCAAGAAGATTTGAACAGGCTAAGTTTAACATACAGAAGATATAACATGAAAATATATACTACTAATACTGAAGCAATGCAGGTCAACAAAATCCTAGTCCACTGGTAATGGTACTTGTCTGAAGTAAAATAAAGAATTTAAATATCTAGGAAGTATATTCTCAGAAGAAGGGAGCATAGATCGGGAAAAGAAACAAGATGCCAACAAACCACTACACTTATATACCAAATTTTAAATTTAATTAGTTGCGTATCCTTTACAGGACGTTGCAGAACCAACTCCAGCACTTTCTGGCTGTTGTGGTTTTTCTAGGCAAATTTATGTCCAGTAGTTTGCCATAGCTTTCTGGACGGTCGGCTCTCTGTACCACTGTTGAAACCATCGCAAGACAAACCGTCCGCAGCAGGAATCTAACCCGGCATCTCGGCATTACGAATTGCGTTCGCAACACCCAAGCCACAGACGCCGACTATATACCAATAAACACCGTTATTAAGACATCCAAACATAAGTATGAGCACCATGAAACAGATTTTAAACAGCATATTCATATCAACACGGTGCTACCAGTGCCAGATTGGGGACATTATCAAAGGCTAACCTACAAAAAATTAACACCTGTGAAATGAGATGCCTGAGAAAAGCTGCCAACTGAAAAATCTGAGACAAAGTTAGAAATGATATTATCAGACAGACTGTAGGAACAAAACTATGCAGCAAATTCATTGAGAAGCAGAAGATCAAATGGTTTGGTCATTTAGTAAGAATGCAGCTGGAACAACTACCATCACAGGCACTGCAAATGAGAAGATCTGAAGTGAAAGCAAGAGGCCATCCGAGAATAGACAGATTGAGAGGCACACATATAAACCAGATCTGTAGAACTGATAAGCACAGAACACTTAAGTTTTGGAACAAGACCAAAGTTCAGAAGTGGACGAACAACCAGAACTTTCTGCTGGAGTTTACAGCCGGTGAACATGAAGAAGATGACGAAAGAGACCGTTATAGTATCTAGCAAGATTGTTTTAGTTTGCTCAGGTCAGATATATAAGATTTAATAAATAACATTGCATTGTTTGGCATACATAGTCTTATTCAGATCACACACTGGCTTGTTATTGGCATTATGAATTTAACATATCTGGCATTACTTTGCATCCTGCCACTGAGTTTAATTTAAAATTATTTTATTGTTGTATATGAGTTAATAGCGGCGTCCGTGGCTAAGGCGTTGCGAGTCCGACTCGTAATCCAACTTACTGCGATCGAAACCCACTGCGGGCTGCGTGGATTTTTATCGTGGTATGGGATGATGCAGGTCGACCCAGCCTCAAATGGGTACCAGGATGGGCTGTCCTGGGAAAGTAAAGACAGCCGACGTAATGCTGACCACATTACCCACAGAGTGCTGATGGTCTGTAAAAATATGAGCGCTCTTCCCATATGCCCGATACGCCTAAAGGCGTGGAAAGGGATCTTTACTTTACTTTACTTATATGAGTTAATAATGTATTTTTAACTGACTCACAGAGCATTAGTCTGAGAATAGAATCTGAAATACTATACATGTAGTGGTTTGCATTGTTCGATAAAACTGAGATCACAAGAATGTATCATAGATTTTCTGTCATGGGCCAGTGAGCAGGCTATTATACTGGTTGTTTGCTAATTTTCATGGCTACTGTTTGTTATGGCAGATTTAATGTAGGCTCTCTAGGATCGAGCGGATAATTTAGAAGAACAGAATATTTATACCTAGAAAAACTGATTCAGTTAGGAGTGAACATAGGATCTTTATGCACTCAAGGCACAGCTTAAAAAAAAGGTAGTGTCCCTTTAAACAGCGCCATCAGCAGTTAAACTTTTTTTTTTAGGCACTGCAGAAGGGGACAGAACACTTATGGGACTGTCCTAGGAACAGTGATGATGATTCCTAATTAATTAATTGACATAATTTCACTACTGCATTGTTCATCTTCAGAGAAGTGTTTACAATGCAACAGATTCTCACAGGGACCATAATACTGTCGTTGTATTCAGGCGTCCAGATGTACACTACAATGTTCCCCAAGATGTAAGTCGTGTATATTTGATGTGTCACCACTAAACCAAGCTTAATCATAGCCAGTACTTATATGCTCAGTAAAATATATGAGAATTTGGACATTAAAAAAATCCATCTAGGTTTAATCAGAGCCAATCCTTATATGCTCAGTAAAATATATGACAATTTGGACATAAAAAAAAACCCATCTAGGTTTAATCAGAGCCAATCCTTATATGCTCAGTAAAATATATGACAATTTGGACATAAAAAAAAATCCATCTAGGTTTAATCAGAGCCAATCCTTATATGCTCAGTAAAATATATGACAATTTGGACATTAAAAAAAATCCATCTAGGTTTAATCAGAGCCAATCCTTATATGCTCAGTAAAATATATGACAATTTGGACATTAAAAAAAATCCATCTAGGTTTAATCAGAGCCAATCCTTATATGCTCAGTAAAATATATGAGAATTTGGACATAAAAAAAATCCATCTAGGTTTAATCAGAGCCAATCCTTATATGCTCAGTAAAATATATGAGAATTTGGACATTAAAAAAAAATCCATCTAGGTTTAATCAGAGCCAATCCTTATATGCTCAGTAAAATATATGAGAATTTGGACATTAAAAAAAACCCATCTAGGTTTAATCAGAGCCAATCGTTATATGCTCAGTAAAATATATGACAATTTGGACATTAAAAAAAATCCATCTAGGTTTAATCAGAGCCAATCGTTATATGCTCAGTAAAATATATGACAATTTGGACATTAAAAAAAATCCATCTAGGTTTAATCAGAGCCAATCGTTATATGCTCAGTAAAATATATGAACATTTGTGTAACTAAACACCAGAAAAGAACGTTATCAGTACAGGCATAATTCTAGCCAGTTCTTATATGCTTGGTAAAATACATGAACATTTGTGCTTTAAAAAACACTTTTACCAATATAAGCCTAGTCCTAAACAATCCATATTTGATGTGCTGAATAAAGTCCCGATTACATCCCAGTATTCTTTCCTGCAAATGGGAAGTTCCAGTACTGAGACAACATATACCACTGACCTCTGGACCTAGTAAAAAGAGCTCTGTGACTCATTCCCATTGGAGATATTATTTTGGTATTGAGTGGTGGGGGGGGGGGGGGGAAGACATATTAACCTCATTCTGAAAGAAGCCAGCCCTTTTAAGCTTTCAGAATTTGGTTACATAGACAAATGAATATCATGACAAGAGAAGAAAATAAGCATATAATTATTTTTACAAAAATGGAAATAAATAAAACATTACTAGATCAAGGACAGATAATAAAAGGTCAAGCTAAAAATATGTGCCACACAATGACCTACACACATATACAGACAATGACCTACACACATATTCAGACAATGACCTACACACATATACAGACAATGACCTACACACATATACACACAATGACCTACACACATATACAGACAATGACCTACACACATATACACACAATGACCTACACACATATACAGACAATGACCTACATACTAGCCCACACATATACACCATTAACCACTCACACACCAGATTTGTTTACATTTACATACACAAACACCCACACACCAACCCACCATCTTATACACACACATACACAACTGCCATACACCAACCAGCTAATCATTGCTCTACCCACCCACATATGTACGCATACACAATCACCCACATTCCAGCTTCCTCATACTTACAAATACACATTTCTTTATAATGATGATATATATGTGACGGTTATAAAATATTACCCCCCTCCCAAAAAATTTTCATTGGTTTGATTAAACAATATATAACTGCTTGTACATGCTTCAGAATGTGGAGCATTGATGGTAACATTAAAACATGGAACACTTAACAGTTACACTGAAATGTATACTGCAGGAAACTATTATTACATATAAAGTCCTATTGCTTTAACAACAAAAATAGATCATCAGAAAGAGTTTTTATTCTTCAAAAAAGAAGAGACTTTGAAATTATTTTGAACCGACTATGCAGATATCAGCTTGGTTCAGTGGTGATACAGCAAATCTTTAAATCTCTGCATGCAATTTTTCACTCTCTTTCTTGATTTATTTCTTCAATTAGAGAAGTGTTTACAATGCTACTCCAAATCACCATGATTTTGACTATGTGTTAATCACTCAGAGGCCATCTCCATCATATGATATCCATTCGGATGTAAGTAACAACATAGTGACAGTAGCTATTATATGCTTTCACATTTTTTGGGGAGCTGTAGTTTTTGTTTAAATGGTAGTGTGACTTATGTAGCATTTACCCTCTCACTTTTAGTATTGTGACAGAATGGCGAGGTTGACCATCATTTTGCCACATAAAACCTGCAGAACTTTTGAGGAATTAGTTTCCCAAAGCTTTCTGTCATAGTGAAATAATTAAAAACCCCTCATAAGAAACTGTATTTTAATGGTGGTGTGGAATATATAACCACTACCCTTTATTCTTCTACTTTTTCTTCTTAATCTTTATCTTTTTCTTTTGTCGTTTTTTTCCCTTCAGTTTTTGCCCTTGAGAGGACTGTTGGCATGTTTTCTTATCGTTTACAGCAGGCATGTCGAGCTGAGTTCCCCCCAGGTACCTGTGGGTCACAGTTGTGTTGTCATGAGGGCCACAGATGACAACATTTTAAAGTCATTTTATATAAAAAAAAAAAATTGCACAATGGTTTTAATTTGGGTCGCAGGTGTGCTTGCAGTGGCCGTGTACAGCCGGCGGGTCATTTTTTTGACATGCTTAATTAACATCGTGGCTATTAGGTGGGCAGTGGGCCTAACACCCCAACCACCTACCCCATAAAAGGTGGTCAATACAGGCCATAATGTCATTTTTGTGTGTGGTTTCTTCTTCTTCTTCTTCTTCTTCTTTGATCCTTCTGTCAGAAAACTTATCAGGAGACCGGTAGCCTTTATGAAAGCCATCATGCAGTCCATATCTCCTCATATACCATAGTTTTTTGCTAGGGTTTTCAAGAAAGTAGGTATGACTGGCGCCATGTTTGTGGAAAAATATTCTCCCATACTATCTTTGTCTTTCGACTTAGCTAATCTTTAGTTTGTTTCTCTAAAAATATAAACCTTGCTGTGGTCAGCAGAATACACTCAGTAGTACTTAATGTAGCTGTTCTATATGAGTGCTGTAATTATAGCTTCTTAGGAGATGGAATTGGGTATCTGGAATTTTTCACTATTGGATTTAGATCAAGCAACTAACTCTTTGAGTTGCTGTGGTGGTCACACCTTCAGGTAGCAGTCTAGAGAAAAGAAAATGGCAGCCAGAGAACTTTATAAACACATGTCAGCTGTTTTATGATAAGATGTATGAATTTTCATCTCTTGTGGTTATTTTTTTGTTCTCTGTGTGTGTGTACACCCACTTTCAGCAATTATAATTATTTTTTTGTTTTATTGCTTTTTAGCTTTTTCTATACAGCATACATATAATTTTGCTTTTTTTGGGTTTAATTTAGTGAAATTAAAATACTTTTCCCTCAAACATGTTTGTATTTTCATTGATTTTTCTACCCCATTCAACCGTAATCTTCTTTAAGTATCCCCATGCATGTTTTAGTTAAGAATCACTTAGCTGCTTAGGACAGCAGGGTGGGTATATTGGGGTAGTACTTGTTTTAGTTGTTATAGGTCCTAGTTAAAACTTCTCTGCAGATTAAACAGAGCATCTAGGGCTTGCTGTGTCACCCAGGATTAGATTCCTGATGTTGCACGGGTATTGACAACTTCAGTAGCAGCCTGGAGGGGACAAACACAGACAGACAGATGCATGCTTCAGTTGATAGTTGCTTTGCTTGACTATAATATTTACAATTTATTATATAATTTTCCTGTTCCATATAAAGTAAAGACAGTCCCATAGATACTGATGAAGGGATGTGAAAAATTAGACCTTCACATATTCTAGGCTGTCCCATAGTAGATTCTGATGTTGGGATGTGAAAAATTAGACCTTCACATATTCTAGGCTGTCCCATAGTAGATACTGATGTTGGGATGTGAAAAATTAGACCTTCACATATTCTAGGCTATAATATCGGAAGTGGTGGAAACATTTTGATTCTTTGTTATCTTGTATTTCAAGACAATTCCCAGGAATTCTGGGAATCGTTTGGTACCCAGGCTGCAGATACATTTCTTCAAGGTTGTCCTAGAAACATGCTCCCCATTGGAGGCTTGGCAAACATATATAGACTCGGTGTTGTCTTTCAAGTCTGAGTGCTTCATAATAGGCAGTGAACCAACAGTCTGCACACATATAAGCCAGATCTTTAAAATGGATTTGCAAGCAGGACTCAAGTCGTGGAACAAGACCAAAGTAAATGAACAGCCAAGACCTTATGCCAAAGTTTATAGCCAGTGAATGCTAAGAAGAAGAAGAGGAAGAAGCAGGACCAACAGCAGCAGTAGTAGTCTGCTACCAATTGTTATGTGGCCGGATTGACTACTAGAGCTCTACTAGTCAGAAAAAATATTCTGCATTCATGGGATTGAGCCCAGATGATTGTTTGAGTAGAGAGGCTAGCTAACCACTAGGCTAATGCAGCTACAAAATACACAAAGTATAGTGAAGGACCCTCTTTCGCACCTTCAGGCATATAGGGGCAGACTTGTATTTTATAGACTTATTGGTACTTGATGATGGATGATGTGGTCAACATCACACTGGCTGCCATTACTTCCCAGGATTTTACCTGGTACCCATTTAAGGCTGGGTCAACGTAGGGGCCAAGGTTTTTTTGTGTGGAAACAATTCTACTTCCATCAAGACCTCAACCCATGACCTTCAGATCCACAAGTGAGTGTCTAGCTACTGCACCACAGTGACTCTCATAAAATACAAAATCATTAATAATTATCATAGAGGTTGTATGTAACTGTCTTTGGCCTAGCGTTGTGAACACGCTTCATAATTCCAACTGTGGGCAGTTTGGTAATAGACCACTCTGCATTGATTTCGACAGGGGCATTGAGAGTCACCCCTTTAGAAAGCAGTGGCAAACTACTGAATGTAAAATTTGCCTTGTTAAATCAAAACAGCCAACAAATGCTGGGGTTGATTTTTGCAGCATTACGCATCTAACTGTATGTAACTGCCAGTATGCTATTTAACACACTATCCACCAGGTAACAGGTTATAAATATAAGGGCTAGCTCAAAATGTCTAAATAGCCTCATGGCATGACAATGTTTCCAAAACCTTGTGTGTGCTTTAAATGTATTTGAAAAAAGATTTGACATTAAAAAATATTTTAGTTTACCTTGGTCAGTAATCCAGTTACTTTGAAAGAAGCCGAGTCACAAAAGAAAATTTAAAAACAGAAACACCAAACATTCTTTGGCCACATAATTAGTGGAGGACACCTGCAAAATACTGTACCACTGTCTAGGATGTATTATTTAAAGAAGAACACAGACATAAGGCTGGCAGAAAGAGCAGACAGTGAACATATGATAAAATGTGATCACATAATTATCAGTGCTAGAGCAGAAAGCAGACAGTGAACATGTGATAAAATGTAATAACATAATTACCAGTGCTAGAGCAGAGAACTAACAGTGAACATATGATAAAATGTGATCACATAATTACCAGTGCTAAAGCAGAAGCAGATAGTGAAGATATGACATAACCACCAGTGCTAGAGCAGAAAGCAGACAGTGAACATATGACATAATGTGACATAACCACCAGTGCTAGAGCAGAAAGCAGACAGTGAACATATAATATAATGTGACATAACTACCAGTGCTAAAGCAGAGAGCAGACAGTGAACATATGATATAATGTGACATAACCACCAGTGCTAGAGCAGAAAGCAGACAGTGAACATATGATAAAATGTGACATAACTACCAGTGCTAGAGCAGAGAATAGACAGTGAACATATGATATAATGTGACATAATTACCAGTGCTAAAGCAGAAAGCTGACAGTGAACATATGATAAAATGTGACATAAATACCAGTGCTAAAGCAGAAAGCAGACAGTGAACATATGATAAAATGTGACATAACTACCAGTGCTAAAGCAGAAAGCAGACAGTGAACATATGATAAAATGTGATATTAATAAAAGCTGTAGAGCTATATTAACATTGCCAGACTGCTCATGAGAATGGATATGATGCTGTATATGATGCTGTATATGATGCTGTATATGATGCTGTATATGATGCTGTATATGATGCTGTATATGATGCTGTATATGATGCTGTATATGATGCTGTATATGATGCTGTATATGATGAAATTGTCATGCTGCTTCATACAATTTTTTTAGGTATACCCTTTTATCTTAGCTTCAATTTGTTCGTATATATGAACATTTTAATGAAGTTGATATAATCATTGAATTAGTTGTTTCAATTTTACAAATGCATAATATACAAATGTATGTATGTATATGCATATATATGTATATATACATATAACCATTCAGATCTGGTACACACCACAAGATCTCTTTGCGGCATGGCACAATTTTCTGACAGCGGCCCATGACTTGCAAGGCAGCGAGCTCTTTCACTACGACATCACAGATGTTACCAGAAACAGCCTCCAGTTGGTTGCTCTCTCCTTCTATCAGAAGATGATAGACGCTTACAATAGCAAAAACATTGATGTGGTTCTGTGAGTTCTTTTGTATTGTTCTTTTCTATTGTTTTATTTATTGCATGTGTGATCTTTCACTTTTGAAGTCATTGCCTATTCTGTGTTAAGAGTGATGAATGCCTTAGCTATTTCAAGTTGTATACTTTGACATGAAGTCTAATCTGTTATTCCATCCAAAGATTCGACACCTATGAATTAGCAGAAAGTGTTGAATAATAATCTTCTAGAAAGGTACACTGATATTTTACTTTAACTCTGCCAGTTTGTCTACATTTTAACCTGTTGCACCCAAAAGACTAAATCTGGTCACTTCCAGTTGAACACAGAGCTCCCCAGGTGGATTCTGGGACCTCATGTTTTAGAGGGAAAAACAATAGACCAACTAGTTCTTTGCAAAAGTTAGTTGCATATCTTTTACAGGATGTTGCAGAACCAATCCCAGCAGTTTTTGGCCGCTGTGATTTTTCTTGGCAAATTTTACATTCAGTAGTTTGCTATTGCTTTCTGAGCGGTCAGCTCTCATTACCACTGTCGAAATGAATGCAAGACAGATCGTCTGCAGCTGGATTCAAACCTGGCACCTTGGCTTTATGAAGCTCGTTGGCAACACCTTAGATGCTGATGCCTTTACAAGCATGTTATAAAAAGTGACTAGTTAACAGTTTGCTGGAGTTTGATGTTTTGGGCTAAAAGGTGTAGATATAATATTACAGCCTTCCCTTGTGGGTTTGGGGCCCCATTGTGGGGGAAACAAGAATGGACCCACTGCCTAACCCATCCCTCCCCCACCCCCAAAGCCTGATGTAAGAGTCGATTGAATGGGAGCTTCCTTCCAAGTCAGAATGCAAAGCCTGAGCAGCAAGGAATAACCAGCCACACACAAATAAGCCAATAAAATCAAAGTACATGCAGAACTCAAGCTCTGGCACAAAGCCAAAGTCCAGTACTTTACACCAGAGCTTACAACCGGTTAAAAACAAAAAACAAAAAAACAAGAAGAAGAAGAAGATTGTAGCCTAGCTGTAAATTTCAGCATGATGTCCCAACTGCCGTTTTATAGGGAATACAAAAGAGGACAAAGCAACTGATCAACATGTTTATTTCCACCTACTGTGTTTCTCATTTCAGTCAAGCTGGAGCAAACATTACAGATCTCCTCGCAGATTTGGATCATTTGTTGTCTTCCAATGAACGCTTCTTGGTGGGTCGATGGATTGCAGATGCCAGGTCTTGGGGAACTGATGCCAAGGAAACTGCACTGTTGGAATACAATGCCCGTAACCAGATAACACTGTGGGGGCCAAATGGCGAGGTATATATTACTTGTAATGAAAATTCGCTTGTTTTTCAGATCGCTAATTATCTAAACCTTTTTACTCCCAAAATTCCTTCTGTCACAAAAAGCTGACATAAATACCAATACATATTAAAATCTCTAAAAGTTCAGAAAGATCTAGGCAACATATGTATGTAAGCTAATAAAACATAAAATGAGTTAATATGTCTCTATTAAATTCAGATAGAAAATCATATCTTCTTCTTTTTTATAGACCAGTCAGCACATGGTGGGTTATGTGGTCAACATCGTGCTGCTAGATATATACATATATATATACATATACAGCTATGTAGAAAACTAGAAGCATGCTAGCAGTTTTATGTTTGCCTGAATAACATGAATGAATAAAATGTCATATCTGAAATTATAATAGATTTAAGTTTAACCCAGGGCAGTGGAAGAGGATTTTATTTGAAAGCTGTTAGTCAGATAGTATAAAAAAACTGCAATGAAATTGCTCCTGTCACCTATATTCACTTTTTAAAAAATGTCCTATCTGTCTCCATCGTTCTCTGGCTACATGTTGAGAAGAGAGACATTGGAGAACATCATGACAACTGGAAAGATCAGTTGAAAAAGGGGTAGAGGCAGACCAAGAGTGTAATGAGGTGAATTTCCCAGGGAAATCCCAGGGCCAGGGAAAGATGAAAAAAAAGGAGAAAATCATGTCTTGATTATCCCGTGTTATGTGAACAGAGGTACGGGAAAAGCATGAGACTGGAACGGAAGGTTTGAACAGAGAGAGGATAGGAAATTGGTTGATGTTTGGACGCGTATGTGTGCGGTCAAGTACAGAGAAACAACTGTGAAGAATGCGGACTGCCTGACCATGTGTAGTTGTTTGGGACTCTGAGAGATATGAAAGTATTGATGTGAATGAATGTGAACCAACTGCAAGATTCAGCTGTGTGGGATTGCAAGTGCAAGATGCTAGCCTAAATGAAATGCACAGTCAGAAAAGTAATTACATCTAGATTCAAGTTGTATTAGTAAATTGGCGAGTGTATCATCAATGAGAATACAGAACAGTGACCGGACAGTGCAGCTGTTGAATTGGCGAGCAACTGCGGATGGGCGTGTTTGTCGTCTGATGTGTTCATACTAACTTTTTATAATAAAGATCAAAAGTACAGTCATGTGAGGAGCCCAGACAAACCTTAGAGGAAGCCACATTGCAAAGAGAAGTGATGCTGGATGGGCTGAAATGATGGCATGAAGGGATATCATCAAGAGAACTGTTTCAGGCAACCAGGAATCGTGATCTGTGGAGATGCATGATCGCCTACACCAGTTTGCAGGGCACATAATGATGATGATCTGTCTCCAGTATACTAAGTTCCAGTTTTATGCTGGTCAGTCAGTGCCTGATCTTTTATTAACTCAAAGTTTCAGATGATAAAATCTTTATGATATTTTGTTGAACATTTTCCCCAGATCCATGATTATGCCTCCAAACAGTGGGCTGGTGTTACTGCAGAGTAAGAATATGTTCTGTGTTTCCCTGTTTTCTTTTAGGTAAAATAAATAAATGTTTGTGCTGTCTCCACAATAAAGGTTGGCTACAGTGTACCACTTTTGTCTTTGGCATGGGTCATGACATGAGTCACCCACTAAATGGTTTCTAACACTCTGTGGAATGTATTCTATTGATTGCTTCACGCTATGTTTATTGATGACCTCTTTATAAATACAGTTTTATAAAATTTATTACTTACCCATATAATATTCTTTAAAAAAAAAAAAAAAGAAATTTCTGGAAATTCGTAGTTTTAAGGCTTTTTCATACAAGAATCACACTGTGGAATAGACTGGGACCTAACCTATGTAATATTCCCAAAGATGGCTGCGAAGAACTACAGCAAACCTCAGTTGTGGGAATGGCAACAACTTTAATTTATTTAATGAAACTGTGTACCAAGGGAAGAAGAGGAAAGAGTACAGATGCAAGGAATGAATTTCCTGTGTGGGCCGAGGGGCCCCAGTGGAAAGGGGGTTGGGGGGTAGACCCACAGCCTCTCTCCTCCCCCCCCCCCTCAAAAAACATGTCCAAAAAATCCAATAATTAGGCATGTTTCTTTTGAAGTCTGAGTGCATCTGCCTGAGGCAAGAGACCAAGAGTCTGCATAGAAATAAGCCAGATCTGTGAAGCAGGTATGCACACACAAAACTCAAGTTCTGGGACAAGACTTAAAGTCCAGAAGTGGACTAGCAACCAGAACTTTCCACCAGAGTTTACAGCTCTTGAGCCTGAAGAAGAATAAAAAGTAGAATCAGAAGAAAGGAATGAAATAAACTGATCACATTTGTGACTCTATTTTAAGTAGCATAGTAATATATGAAATGTATAGCACCTACCCTGGCAGATTTATGTTTTTATGTTTCAGTTATTACAAGCCTCGGTGGGAGTTCTTTACACAGTGGCTGGTACAGCTAATTAAGAATGTGAGTGACTATTGTTCTTTATGGTATTAATTTTGTCTTTGATTTAAATTATGTTTCTCCGATTAGAGTAGACCTACCATGATTCATGCCGTGAATGTATGGATTTTCCTCACGCACAGAAAGGATGCCTTTTTTTAAAGCTTGGGGTTTTGGATCTGGATCAGACGACTAGCTTTCTCAGACAAGGAGACTATCAGGTCTTCTTCTTCTTCTTCTTCTTTTCCACCTTGTACCTCATCAAAGTGTGGGGGTAAGGGGGGGGGGGGGGGGGGGGGGGATGAAATGAAACTTGGTTGATGAGCTCTGTCAAGAGCACTATTAAGAACTGATTTTCATTTCTATAAAGGCTGTTCTTAATGCCATCTTCTCCGAGGTCTTCCACTTGCTCTATACACGTTGTAACTTTTTAGTGTGGCTTGCTGTGGCAAATAGTACCAGGGCATTCTTGTTAGGTGTCCAAACCACTTCATTTGTTGTTCTGTGATGACCTGTAAGACTTGCTTTATTCCTAGCATTCGTCTAATTTCTTGATTTCATATTCTGTCTTTACTTGAAACTCCTGCAGCTCTTCTAAGGCATTTCATCTCCGTTGTCACAGAGCCCTATCAGTATATATCCATGATATTTATAGCATGTTTAATTCTCTTTAAACACACCTTTGAATGGTGTGATCTGAGGAAACAAAATGGAGCACTTGGGGAGGTATCTATGTGTAATTGAGGCATGGCTTTTTTTCTGGCAGTGTGCAGTGGTACACAGTACTGGCACCTTTGTTGGCATCATTTTGTTCAGTGCTGCTGTAATAAACACTTTGTGATGAGTAGCATGTTTTTAGACACTTTAGCTGTAAATAGGCACAATGCAATTACATCTTCAGATGAATGCAGAAAAAGAATAACGTTTATAACCTTTGTAGGGTACACGCTGGAACACTGCCACATTTGGAGAAAATATCATGACTGCCGTAGAGACCCCATGGACGTTACAGAGCTACCAGTATCCTACAGAAGCTATAGGTAAGCTCTTCTATGATTAATCAGAGCAATCATTATTTCCATGAGATAAATTGTATTTTCTAGCCTGTGACTAAGCAAGTAAGAAAAAGGGTTTTAACCCTTTTATTTACTTTTTCATTTCCAATCTGTTAACCTCCTTTGTCCCAAGGAGCAGAGCTGAAAAAAAACAACAAATAGTTTTGACTGAAGAAATTAAGAATATACACCATGGGACAGAAGTTGTTCAACTAATAATTTAATTTGATTCAATAACCGACATCACAGCACTCAGGGCATTCCCATAAGCGCTCCGTCCCCATCTTCAGCAGCCAGTTAAGAGTTCCGATATTAATGGTGCCAGTAGCTTTATAATTAAAAGTCCGTCTTGCATGTCCTCTGAGCCTCGAGCATCTGCCAGAACCTCTCATCACTCCCCCTGCATCAAATCAATCTCACCAGACTGTGGTGATCCATCTGCTACTCTGAACTGTACACGCTCTCCCACAAGGCACTAACCACGTCTGCCTTATCATGTATCACTATTTGTAGGAAGTAGTTCAACTAATGAAAGTTGATTCAGTGAATGTCTGTGACAGAAGTGATTATGGCTGATATATTTGTCAAGGCAAAATGCAGATGACTATTTAAGAAATAAATCTGTTTAGTTGTTTCAATTAGGCCATTAATTTTTCCTAGTAAATGACTAAATAAGAAATAAATCTGTTTTGGTTGTTTCCATTAGGCCATTGCTATTTTTTAGCAGATGATAAATAAGAAATAAGTTTGCTCTTTTATTTTCATTAGGCCATTAATATTTTCTAGCAGTGACTAAATGAGAAATTAGTTTGTTCCACTATTTTCTTTAGGTCGTTAATATGTCTTCACGATAAATATGTATAGAATAATAAGTTTTTGATGTCTTGTGTTTGAAAAAAAAAAAAATGTTTTGTAGGCTTAAGGGTTGCGATGCAGTTTCACAGTTCTATCAAACTGGGGTTTTAAGTTAGCTGCAGAATATTTGGTAACAGACCTCTTTGTATTGATTATGATAACAGGAAAAAAAAAAAAGCAGTAATAACTACTGAACATGAACAGACTGAGTAGTAAAAGTGCAAAAAGCCAGTAAAAGGCATGAGTTGTTTTGTGACGTTCTGAAGAGATATATGCTTAATCCATCTGCTATACGCTTACTAACATTAATCAGTATTTGTCTACAGGCAACCCTATTGACATAGCAAGAACACTGTTTGTCAAGTACCAGCCTGTCACTAGAGACCCACTATTTGCAAAACTGGGTAAAGGTCAGAGGTCAAGGCCTTCCAGGAAGGATCATAGTTTAAACTTCAGCAAGTACTCAGGGCTGCATGCTGTAGATCATGACAGATCTTTTAAAAATATTTAATTTTACATTCCAACATTTTTCAGGGAAATTATTTTTCAACTTTTTGTAATTAAGTTTGTAAACACATTTTTATTGTGAACTTTTACATTATTTGATGTTATTACTTTAGATGTCACTGCACATTGGGTATTCCCATACATGCTGAGATCACCGATTCAGCAGTCATACTTAAATAACCTCTTTTGACTGTTCCTGTATGACACTGGTTCTTATATCTCCTTTCTTGACATTGGTGTTGAATATCTGGTTATTTGTTTTGATTACTATTAAAAAGTAGTTGTAACAGTTATGAAATTAACCACCCATGCTTTTTGTCATGTCACATGATGATGAGGATGTTGGAGTATTTCACCATTTGTTCAAAAAGAACCTTTGTAAGTACCATGCCTCCTCATAGCACAAGATAACACTGTCGTCTGGAAAGGCGGAAAGGTGCCAACCATAATGAGACCTGATAGAAGCAGAAATGTAGATTCTGAAGAAGAAAAAAAACAAGCAGGGTAGTCTTCTTCAAGAGAAATGAAATTAAACTGTTTGGGAGAAAATAAATGTAGACAGTCTAGAATGTTTGTGTGTGTGTTGAAAATGTTATACCATTGATAACTGGCACCATGAGAGCTAATAGACTGAAATGGTTGGGGCATATTGTGAGAATGTCAGATGACAGAAGGGAAAACTGTATACACAAGGGAGATGAATGGTTGTAGACCACGAGGCAGACCAAGAAGAAGATGGAGAGATCATGTCCTAACAGACCTGCAAACACTTGGTGTCACCAACTGGAAAGAGAAGGCCAACCAGAGAGATGAATGGAGGCAGGTAATATTTCAGCAATGAATCTCAAGGGCTCAGAATGCTGAAGAAGAAGAATTTGAAAAATGTTATGAGACGGAATAAACATTTAAAAAAAAAAAAAAAAAAAAATTAGAAGAAAGTTTGAAAAAAGTTTCATTGACAAAGAGCAAGAGAAAGACAGCGAGATAACTGTCTGGATGGCTTGATCATGGGCAGGACAAAAACACTGAGCTTATTTGTGATTTTGGTCATAAGTGAACCTTAACCATAGCCTTAACCACCTACATTTATTGGCAGGGCACATGATGATGATAATAATAGCCAGGGCTTTTTTTTTTCTGACGGTACACAACGGTTCGCAGTAATGGAGCCTTGTTTTGTTTTGTAGGCATCGTTGTTTCACTGCATCTGTAACAGACACTTTGTGGTCAGTACCAGCACCTTTTTAAAAAAAAAAAGAAAATGTGGGATGAGTACGGGTACCAATTTTGTTTCTAGAAAAAGGCCCTGATAGTAGTAATTGTCTTCTTTGAGAACCGTGTTAGCTCACACATACAAGGATAGCACACAGAGGTTGAACTGAGCCAGCAGGGAGCATCTAGCCACTGCCTTACTGTGGCCTCTGCCAGTATAATGACCTTACAGAGACCCAGGAAACCTACTAGAAGTCCACATGAAAATATCCCAGCCTTTACCGGGGCCTGAACCCGGGACCTCTAGCACTCGAGGCGGATGCCATGCCTGGAGACCACTCAGCCCCCCCTCCCCCTCCCCTACTAGAGGAAAGTTTAGGTAATAATCATAATTTTGATGTATAATCTCCTCATGTGCCACAGTGTCATTGACAAAGTATGGGCTTCACATTACATTTCCAGTAGCTTGAGCATTCTGATCTTTAAGGTTAATTGTTGCAGATAAAACCCATCTCCATTTATCACTCTGGTTCACCTTTTTTTTTTCTCTTGGTGACTCCAGGTGTTTGTAGGTCTGTGGGTATATTATCTTTCCACCATATTCTTTGTCTGCCTTGTGCTTTACTCCCACTTACCTATTTTGTGTACAGTTTCTGCCTCGCTATCTGTCATTCTCTCTACATGTTCCAGCCATTGCAGTCTCTTAGCCTTCCTGTATAACAGTGGTAAAATTTAAATAGATTCGGAATTTTTGTGTTTCCTTTTACTGTCAATCTGCACTGTTTGCATCTTTGATGGGTCTAACAATTCATCATATAACTGTTCTCAAAAGTGTATCTTAATCTTGTAGTCCTGCTCCATGTTTCAGAGCCACGTAAAACACGTCCCCAGGAAAGTATGAAGTATTGTAATTGTTATGTTTTACTTTGTTTGCTTTTATTATGTTTCTTTTGTGAATATTTTGTAGTATATTATTTGATAGTACATATTTTACTATATGGATCACGTACAAATTTTGATGGTACTGAAGACTCACTTTTTATCCTGTCAAACTCACTGATATATTCTGTGCAGTATGGGTTATATTTTTTTATATAGTTTCATATGCAATGTGGGAAAAGTTTAAACTTCTTATGTGTTAGATGATTCATCGTCATCATCATCAAGTGCCTTGACAGCTGGCATTGGCGTTCCTGCATCTCCATAGATCTAGGTCTTTGGTGTTCTGGATCAATTCCACTTATGATATTCCTCCATTCCACTTTCTTAAGCCATCCATTCTCATTTCTCTTGGTCTGCCTCTGCCTCTTCTACCAATGATCTTTCCAGTAATCACAGTATTTTCCATTAGATGATTATGGTGAATATTATCCAAATTGTTTGGATAATTGTGTACACTGTAACCTTTATCTCTTTCAGTACATAGCACATATAATTTAACCCATTCTCTCCTAGGAGGATTTTACATTTGGGAAACAGAGGCTTAAAAAAACAATGGTGCTTAGAGAGAGAAGGGAAATAAAGTAATGATTAGAGAAGGATTGATTAGTATAACAGCTGGATGTACCATGAAGTGTTGAGTAAAAATGTATGATATAAATAGACCCAAAACATGTTGGGAGTCTCTTATTACTGAAAGTGTCTTTGCTTTTAAAGAGAAAAATGGATTTCTGTACGTTTTTGTTGTTGTTGCCGTTTTTTTTTTAAAATGCTGTAAATGTTTGTAAAAACCTATTCAGACGTTTTTGCTTGAGTGAAATTGTATGCTGTGAAAGTAGTCCTAAGTCTTCTGTTCATTCAGTTTCAACATTTCAGCTTTTCCAGTTCCATTGATTTATATAACGTATGTTATGCTGGGTGAGCAAACATTGTTAGCACTCATAACTAAGCACAAAAAATGGTATATTCAGATCAGAAGAGATGTGAATAATATTGGACAAATGAAAAAAACTTTAACAGATAGAAAAGAAACAGAAGATGGCTTCAGAAATGCGAAGATATTTTCTCTAAAAAACAAACTGGCAAAAATATATGAAGAGCAATACAAAGGAGAAGTAAGTAAGTAAATTATACCCCACCAGGACGTCACACAGAGGAATAAATACCCGATGACACAAAGTGCCACCATGCGGAGGAGTATCACATGTGGAGAGGTTCCAGAAACCACATTCAACCAATAGGTTACATTACGGCCACTGGCAAAAGCTGTGGTGGGGCTTTAAAATAACGAAAAATTGCATCCCACAAAAAGACGACAATGGTTATTGCAAAGGAGAAGAATTTAAAAAGACAAAGAAGGTGATGAAAGCTCATTTTCAATATTCATTTTGGTCTGGGAATACAGTCACATCATAATCCTTTCATCTAAAGAAGCCAATAATTTGGCACATCAATCTATGAAACAATTCTCAAAATACAGCTTAACAGGCTTTTCTGCAGGGGCCTGTCTCTGAGAAGCCTAGTTAATGGCACTTGTGTGGTATTTAACAGGTCTGGATATGGTTATATGGTTTTTTAAAAAGCCTTTGTGATCTTAACATTCATCTGTATCCTCCTTATTGCGAGAATTCCCACAAGGTCATGTGGTCACGGTCATCTGTATATTTGGTTTAGGTCAATGGGAATGTAATCCATGTAATATTTTGTTTGTTCCATTTGTGTTACTGATCACACATCATTTTTTGGGACCAAAAAAAAAAAATGGCAATCTATTTTTTTAAATGTGTTAGTGATTTACAAGAAATTGGTTGCTTTTTTAAAAATATTTTTTCTGGGATTCCAACTTTCTGGGTTTTTTGCCCCCAAAGGGTTTCTGGTTTAAAAGGTTAAAGACATCAAGAAACATCAAAGAGAATACTAGAGGCCGTCAAAATTAAAACAAGAATAATACACCTAAATGAAAAATTGTATGACACAGTCCTTTGTCTGAAATAATGATGGCGATATTGATGAGTATAGGTATATTAATTGAATTGTATACTCCAAGTGTGGGCTCCGAGGCCCCAGTTTTAAAGAGAAAAAAATTAAGAATAGAGAGCATCTGTTCCTTAACAGACAAACAGTGACTAATTAGGGTTTGCTGATGTTGATTGTGTTAGACCAAAAGGACAGATATTGCTGCCCAGCTGTACACCACAACCCAGTGTGCCAGCTGCCCTGTTAAGGATGAACACAGGAGAAAGGGAATTGTGTATCGTTTGATTTTGTTAAGATTTTAGCATACAATTTTGTACTTGTCATCCATGACATTTATGGGATATTAAAAATAAAATTGAAGTAAGCAAGACATTTCCGTTAATAGCTAATTGTTATTATTTGTTGTGTTTTTATTTTTAAAAATTAAAGTAAATAACTTGTTAGCCAACACCTAGCCTTTTATTTAGGCACTGAGCGGCTTAGCAGTATGTCTGCATGTAACAAAAACAGACTTGATAAATTTACAAAAGTGATCCCTTTGTGGATTCCAGAACCTCCATTTTGAGGGGGTAGGGATGATAGATCTAACCCCTTAACTTGTTGGCATCTTTTCGTGGTTCTCGCTGAGAGTTATATTGTGCTGTAGGGAAGTATAGAAATCACAGCCCATGGCTGTGGTAAGTGTGACTAGCAACACCTGCCTGTGTTAACAAAAGTCTTCCACATTTAGAGCTTGGGATTTTAGAACTGTTGTTGCCATCAAATATATTTAGTGTGCTTTTACTTAGGTGCCCAGTTCTCACCCTTTCTGCAGTTATTTTGTTTCTTTATTTCAATTCCTTTCCAGATTTTCCCCCTCCATGCAACACATCCATG